AAGCAAAAAACTTCGAACGAGCAGGGGAATTTGAAACAAGTATTATTTTAAATATAAATATATCTGATATTGATATTTCAAACAGAACTGACTTTGAAAAGTATATATTTTGTTTCGGGCTTCGTTTCGGCAGTTTTTTTATCAACTGTCTGAAGATTCGACTCCTGCTATGAAATTAAGTGGAATTTCGGGACGAGTTGGTTTAAGTTTAAGCCCGCTAGAATCCAGAATATACTTTATACTTTGATCCAGCTGTTTTGGTAATCAGTAAATGTAAGTACATTTCGTAGGCATACAAGAACTGGTTTTAAGTGGAATTACAGCTGAGTGGCTTAAGCATTAGCACACATCAAAATGCAAAGTAATTAAAAAGGCCAACGACAAAAACAGACAACGAAATTACTGAAATTACATGACGCAAGTACAGCAACAACAATGACAATGATTGTCGGCCGTAATGCAATTTAATGGCCAACAGAAGCCAATGGCCGTAACCACATAATGGCCGGGATGAGTTTGAAGTGTTGCAGATATTGGTCAAAAGTGCCGCCGACTGGCCAGCAAAAGCCGCACAGACAGCCGGACACGCCAGCAATGCGAGATAAACGCCCACAGAAGCAGTTATCGGCCAGGACACGGGACATGGGACACAGGACGCAGGACACCAAAGTTGAGCTGGAACAGCCAGCGACAAAGTGCGCTCACATAATAATAATGGAAATAATTTAACTTATTGGATTTTAATGGGATTACATATGCGCAACACGGACAGCTTCGGGTATTAAAACTTGGCCAACTTTGTCAGAGTGTGTGCAAGTGTGTATAATGGCCGTTGTCAAAGTCAAAACCAGTGATGACGGCAGGGTCAATCATCGCTGATTACAATGGTGGCATCTTCTTTATATAGGAGGCTATAAGGTCCAAAAAAGTTTAATGAACAAACGAAACTTTAAGGCATGTGCTGACACTCACTAATAAAATCCCTATATATAAAACTGTTTGTCCTGACAGACTGACTGAGTGAAATTACCTTATGTGTTGAAGGTGCACGCTAAAACGGGGTTTCGGGAAATTCTACCCAAAAGTGTGGAAAAATCGCGAAAATACATTTTAATGAAACTTTTATGTTTACTTGAGAGGTGGTGATGTTTCGGGCTCATTCCTAAAAACATTATGATAATTCACTTGTTTACACTTTTTGGGGAATTCAAGTTTTCTGGGCGGAAAATGCGGATGAAAGATTTTTTGGCGACCAAAGCCTCTTACTTGTTAGTTTGTTTTAAATAAATTATTATTTTGTAGCCTTAAAATGTTAAATTTAGCACCATCATTATATGTGTTAGTATAGATATCTTGAACTATCAATACCAAGAATTTGTTCATCTGTTTAAACTTGAATGAAAGTGCTTTTCTGCTTAAATGAGAACTAATATCAGAAGCACACACATTCAGCAGCCCCATCTTGACAGCCCCCCATCTTGTGCCGTGTAAACCATATCCATTTCCTTGCACTGCAGCACCTCCTGCTGCTAATACTGCCGCTGCTGCTCTAGTTAAGGCAACTGCAAATGCTGCTGGGAAAATACTGTACATGTCGCTGGCACGTTTGACTGTCGAGCCTGTGTCTGGCTGTGTTTTAAACATTAAAACATGGCCAGTTAGCTGATCTACTGTTGGGGCAACTTTAACCGGCTGCCAGGCAGTGGCAAAAAGTTTGTCCCGTCAGTCAGCCATCAGCGCGTGGCCACAACTAACCACATGCCACATAATTTCCTGGCGCAAACTGCCGCGAGCAGCGGCATATCCAACCATGTAAATGTTGCAGGCAAGACAGTAGGGCTTACGCATTTTGATGTGAGTGAAAATGTTATTCTAGTAGGAAGCTCATTATTAAAATGGTACCCGCGTGTTTTTTTTTGTATACCCTGTATGGGTATGTGTGTAAGAAGCAAAAGGAAGCATCTTCAACGGCAAAAGACGTCTGTCTGTCTATCGGACTGTTCGTCTGTACATTTCCGTATTGATAATAATTCGCAGATTAGGTTAGTTAACGACAACAAATTTTCCCCACCTCCCTTGAAATTGAACAAAAAAATCATTTATTATATGTGTTCTATGTTTAAGCCCCAAAAATGTCGGACACTAGTCGGACACTCCCAACCAGAACTCGTTTTTTTGTATTGTGCGGTCTCCGCAGCTGCTGACCACATTTTAGCTTCATTTACAGTTATTTGCTGCGTTGTCTCATCGAGTTTTTGTGTAACGGGCTTCACATAGGTACAATAGACCCACTTGTTCAGTTTGTCCGTCCAAGGTCTGGCCAACTACAACTTGGCCCAAACGCAAAAACCGCAAATTCAATTTTGGTTTGCAGCCTACAACGTTATTGCAGTGTTTGTTTGCAACGATTTGTTGTTGTTGTTGCTTCTGTTGTGTCCTTTTAATGCAATTTATGTAAAGTGTTTTACATGGTTTGTGTGCCTTTCACCGCAAACGATCTTTTGTGATATAAATCTGACAATGAAATGGAAAGGGAGTGTAATTGGTTTTTTTTTAAATTCTAACAGATGTTCCTGCGCACTGCTTGCACTGCGCGAAACCTGTAAACTGCTTGCTTATGTTGACATGCGTGCAAAGCAGTTGATATATATGGTCGACTAGTCAATACACTACCTCCGTATGCTTCATTTATGTTTCACAGAAATCGTCAGAAACCCGAAAATTATGAATTATTATTAATAAGTAATAAGCTAGAGAACAATACTTAACATCTTGTTCCATTTCACTTTTGAACTTTTAAGATTGGATTTTAAATTTAAATTTTCATTGTGTCTTCTTAAAACAACAATGTTTGTTATAGTCGTGAGTAGTATCACATTAAGGCTTATTGCCTATATTATTAGTCTCTTAAAACTGTGGTAGATAAAAAAAATTGTTTAATAATATAGTAGTAATGCGTTTGGTGCAATAAATACCTTTTTGGAACACGAAATCTGCATGGAGCTGCTTATCAAAAAGTGACCTTTTCGATTTGTATCTCTCTGCTGTAGCTTCTGCTTTAGAGACTTCTGCTGGTTGAGCCCAATAACTTGATCATGTTATTTTATGTTTTACTCATTTGTGTTTCATGTTTGAGCCTTTCGAATTTCTGTGGCTTTGATAACTGCTTTGGAAAACTCCTGTTTTCCTTTTTGGCATTTCTGTGATTTCTGCGGAAAAAAATTCAATAAATTAAATTAAAAAAATGAAATTAAATTTTAATAGCGATTTGAAATAACTTATATTACTATCTGGCATACCATAACCTGACTAGAAACGTTTAAATATTTCCCTACTATTTTGATAGGGGATTTGAACACTACGAAAACACCAAAATGGATACTAAAACTGTCGATAAGGTTATTTTATAATCTACAATTTTGAAAAAAAAAAAGTTGAAGTTAAACCAAATTAACACGTTTGCCGATAAAGCCTTGATTCTCAATTTTCCATCGAAGAATGGAATGGCGTTCTATGCCTTGATCATCAACCAGACGACCTGTCAGGAGAAACTTTTAGGTTTTTGTCTAGTACAACAACAAGCTTTGTTACAAAACCACACGACTTTTAGGTTTAGAACGCAACACCGACGTAGACTCTGAGTATTTAGGAATTCTCTGGCTGCTACCTTTTACTCCAAGGTGACGATACATGTACGAACCTTAGTTTTAAATCTTTGTTCCAACACATTCTGTTGAAGATGGTGCTTCTGTGTTAATTCTTGCTTTGCGTTATCACTTGGACCATGTGCTCGATGTGTGGGGACTTCTTTATGGACATGCACAACTGCAGGTAAATGCTGCGCTTTTGGTTCCTTTGATTTCGTCGACAATACTGCTGTTTTGCTTATTCCGCTTCTGCTGCTTTCGAGTCCAATATGGTATAAAAATCCCAAATCGGACATTATTTGGCCGAGATATTCCAAAAAAAAAACAATAAAACAAGCGAAACGTTTTTCGTTTGCCAATTAATAGTAGGGATCCCTACGAATTCAAAAAAGTATAACATTTCTAAATCAGACAATATATACCCCAGATATTAAAAGAAAAATCATCAAAAAAGTTTTCATTTTCGTACCGACCCCTATTTTGAAATAAACGTGATGCAACCCCTTGCCTAGCTACATAAATAAAACAGAGCATGAAATAAAAATGTAAATGGCGTTTCGACATTACTTAACACTTCCGAATCCGAATATATGGTTCCGAGTCGGAGAACATGCAATTGCAGAAGTCCTCGTAACTTTCGTGCTACTCCGCATGCGTATACTTCTCGACGCCTGTTTGGGTCAAAATCTGGCTCCACATGCGATGGACTTCAGTTTTTCTAAGCATAAAATCCATTAGCGGATTTTATATACTTCACTTATGCCTTTTCTAGGCTTTCTCCCTTATTATATTCACCACATGTACAGTGTGACCGCAACCGAGTATCGAGAAAGCGCTTAAATAACAAATAAAGATTTTTTTAAGCACTAAATAGTATAATTAACTGTTATTTTGTCCTTACCAATTGACTGACAAATTGTTGAAAAATATAGCAAACTGAAATATGTACCGTGTGACAATCCTCTCCAGCCTGGGCTTAAAAATGAGGTCAGATGTTGCGTGTGAAAGTAAAAGTAGTGTCTGATTAGGTTTTAACTTACTTTTAAAGATAGACAGGACAAATTTAAGAATATATGTACATATATATTCCGCAGGAAATTTCGCGGATAACTGTTGTGTGATTTAAACCTTGTATTTGACTTATCACATAAAATGCTAGGCTATTTCATTAAATATTTAAAATATTCGTTTGATCTTATATTTTTTTTTTCGATCTATTTCCTCAGTTTTTTAGCCTTAACTTGCCCACGATGTTATTTTTGCTCTAATTGGCAATTGCGAATGAATTTTAATATTAAATACAATTTATTTAGATACCATATAACTGTTTTTTTATGGAATTTAAATAGACTTTACAATATAAATTGCTGGATGGAAGGTAATAAATGTTTCCTACATAATTATAAATTATTTCGACTATCTATCTAACATATCTAAAAATGTTATCTCTTGGTTTGTTTAAGCAAATTGCTTTAACTTTTTCTCCTTTTTTTTGCATTTATTGCTATTTAATTCAAATTGAAGTGGAATTGCAATTGAATTAGACACATTTAGATTGTTTGACTGTATTTCTTTTTTTTTCGCCTGCGGGTTCTGTCGTTCATTATTGGGCTTGTCGTCTTCCATACCTTCGCAGATAATTACATTTTGTATTGCCACTTTTAGTTCGTGCGGCGTTTTCCCAATCACCGTGGAAAGGTTGGGTAAGTTTTTAAAAAAATCGGCAGTATCTGTTATCTTATGATCAATTGCTTTTGAAGCTTTGTCATCGAAACTCTGCAACCAGTCATAAATTTTCTCACCATTATCTGAGGGTATTTCTGGGCTGATTTTATTTGCTTTGGGTGTATTATCCGCTTTACCGACTTTATTAGCCAGCTTTAAAGCATCGGCAATTAACTTGTTTTCTAATTCGCAATCGGTGCCCGACTCAATTTTTCCCCTGCTATCATTAATGTTCTTAATAGTTTTGACTTGTTCAGCTAAGGGTTTAAAGAGCATTTCTCGCTGACGCTCGTAGACCTCCTGGACCGAGCTATGCGGGACGTCCTGGGGCTACAAAAAAAGTTATTGTATAAAATAAATAATAATTATAATGAATATGTACTTCGTTAGTTTGAGCTTTAAGCCGGTCATTCATAATCAGCTGATTAGACTTTGATCTATTGGGTGGCTGCCTTTGATATGGACGCGATCTATCCTGACACGAACGTAGATAGTTTTTAATCTGTTGTTCCAGAATCTTGTGCGGGAGTGGAAATTGTTGTTGCAGTTGATCTTTCGATTGTGGTTGCTGCGTTTGCTCCATTGACTGCAAGCTTCCGGGCCAATGAGGCTGCGGTTTTCGCTGTTGCTGAAAATGTTGTTGTTTTTGTTCGTCTTCTTCTTCTCCTTGTGGATCATTCTGCGACTGCTGTAAGGAATTTTTTTCCACACCTTGTTTATTTTGCTGTGTCGGGGGTTGCTGTTGTAGCACCTGCTTCGGGTGTTGAACTGGAATGTATTGTCTTTGTTCTTGTGCTAATCTAGATGTCTACATAAATTTAAATATTGCATATTAAAAAATACCCAATTTCCTAAAACCGTAATGATTAAATAGCCAACCTTCTGCGGAACTGGATGTTGCTGTTGTGGTTGTTGCTGTTGTTGTTGTGGTTGTTGTTGTTGTTTTGGTTGTTGTTGATGTTGATGCTGCTGCGGGATATTTTCTTGTCCAGGTTTCCAGTCTGGCTGTGTATTCTTTACCAAGCCAAGCGAATCAGAGTTGCTCTTTGTTGGCTGTTGTCCAGGTTTTATGCGTGGTATACGTAACATAGATATGGAATCCGACACGCCAGGTATCTTCACCGGTTTCTGCTTCGCGGGTTGAGGTTTAGCTGGAGGATTGCTTTTGGCTATTGGCAGCTGCAACTGGTTGACATGTGTTCGTGTTAGTTGCTCTATCTAAAAACGAATACACAGAAATGATCGATAAGGAAAATATTATTAATCTTTTACGTCAACCGCAGTTACACTTTGAATTCTTATGTAGGGCTCCGAAGTAGACAGCATGCATTTCCAGAATTCTTCGTAGTTTTCCTGCCATTCTGCATAGGTATACTTGTCAATGCCCGTTTGAGTTACTATCTGGCTCCACATGCGTTTAATATCCGCTTTTTTCAGCCTGCATGCCTCCATTATTATAAGCGCCTTATTGGGATGCGTTACCTTTTTTCCCAACTCAATTAGCAGTCTTGAAACAAGGCCTACTACCATTGAATTTATATATTTTAATAATTCTACAATGCTATTATGATAGTTTAATCGATAGGAGGCAAATTTTGATGTACTTAATGTTCTGTTAGCACAATGGACTGTTCCGAAAATAGATCCATTATAAAAATAATTTAGTCAAGTAAAATACATCTAACATTTTATTAATTTTTAATATTTATTGCAAATTCAATTTCTTAATCTTGTTTTGCCTAGCTACATATGCAAACTTTCATATAATGCATGTATAACAATAAATATATTCATGTTTTCACTATTATATTTCAAATACATATAATATTATTACATTGTTCATTTTTACATTCGTAAGCAGCAAACGCAGTATGCGTATATACATATATGTATATGAATTTATGTATATGCTTTGTATAAATATTTGATTTTAATTTGCAATAAGTAAACTATTTATTCAAAATTTGTATACGCGTTACTTACTTGAGTTTTTATATTGGATGTTTAATGTGGTACTTTTGATTTAGTTGAGAGTAGAACATGTTGATTAGTATTGTGTGTTGAGATACTGTGTAAGTAAAAACGATAATTAATTTAATTGGAATGAATTGAATTTGAATACAAAATTTAAATAACTTGGAGTGGTAGTACTCAATACTTATCAGTTTATAGATTTGGCCAATTGTTTTGCTATTTAGCACATCGATTACAACAGCAATACATACACATAGACATTAGATTAGTACATAATACGTATAATTACTAGAATTAAGTATTTTGATATGATCATGAATCACAACAATGTGTTATCAATATCTATTAAATATACAATGTTTTAGTTGGGCGTAATATCGATGAAGAATTACATAGTTACATATTCAGGTAGAAATACATTCATTTGATTTACTCGTTTTAAAATAATTAACAATGTACTATAAATATATGTAAATATGTATATATATATATTTTAAAAATTGCTGCTTTAAAAGTCTAAGCAATAATAATAAAACAAAAACAATAAAATAAGAATGAAACATTTTGTAAAAGGAAAACATTCTTTGGAACAGTAGCAAATGTCGTTACCTAGCTTAAAAATAATAAAACAAATACAAACATGTATAGTTTAGTTTGTAATAGTATAGTATATAGTTTAACTATGTACGTAAGTATATGACGACGAACGGCAACGTGAATAGTGTCCGTATTCAGTACGGCTCAGTCTTCTGCTAAACTCAACGCAGTGATTGATGATAAAAACGAAATGACAAATATCGAGGACGTGCTTGATAGCATTGGCATTGACTTCGCATACTGGACTTAGGCGTTATTGTTCTCGCCGCAGCATTGTATGCAGTCCATGCAGTTGTGCTACCTGTTGCCATCATTCTTCCGGCTTATATTCGATGAGGTCAATTGTATCTATAAAAGAAAAACAGCATTTAGTGGTGGCCTTTTAAGTTTGCAGTTGGAAATACAAGTGGGTAGTTAAGTGTGTATGCTTTACAAAAGCAAGGTTCATGCGTGCAATAAGTGACTGACCTTTAGTCCTTGCATTATTATTTGTGTTATTCTTAATGCTACCGTGTTTAAACTTCTCACGCACAACAACAAGTACAAAACGTGTAAAGTGACAAAAACATACAAACAACATTTAGAGGTGTACAGATAGAGATGACAGTTAAATGAGTGTGGGTTTGTATATCAGTGCAATGTAATATTAAAAGAAAAAAATGCAAGCACACCTGCAGTGAGCGTATAGTATCCAGCAATGCTTTCTTCTCTTCTAGCAATATGCTAATGTCATCCTGTGCTGCCTTTAAATACGACCGTAAGACATCTGTTTCCTGTTTAGTCTTTTGCCTGTTATGCATTTGAAAATTAAAGTTTATTGCAATGCTTATCATTCCAAAGCGCAACACACCAACCTATAATTATCTGTGTTGATTTTGGAATCGACAAGTTGTTTTCGCATGTGCTCATTGTCGAGCTTCATTTGCTGCATGACAAGCTGCATAGAAAGCAGCTCACGATCACGTTCGCGTGGTAGTCCACGGAAGACGCTACCTAATGCCTGATGCTGCTCAGAAGTCATGTTTGTATCTGCAAATGTAACAAGTTTTTAAAAATGTCAAATAGGATGATAAAGGTTTATACTCGCCTATGGGCTGTATATTGATTTGGCCACTCTTGTCGCGCTCCAAACGCATGCGACCAATACACAGATTAATAGGCACTGCGCCCGGTGAAGTAATATTGACAGGCGGTCGATCTTCCAGCAAATTTATACGCACGTTTTCCAGATTTATCTTATTTAAAATGTAAAACAAATCAGTTATTACAAACATTTTAGACTTTAAAACCACTCTACCGTAAGGGGCATGGGCGATGAAATAATCTCATCTTCAGCCAGATCACCTAGACCTATAACTGTGCTCATAGACAAATCTATATTAATATCCTTAACGTGTATCTCGGCATGATGTGTAAACCAGCTATTTTTAAATATATATATATTTATTACAAATGATTTAAGCTTAAATCTCGAGACTAACTTACCTTTGAATACGTTTGCGATCGATGATGCCTTCGATTTCCTTTGGCATGTTAAGTGTCTCTTCGAGGCGCAGTCTAATGCAGGGCGGCGCTTCTGGATTGTATGGCGCCAGATTCCAGGACTTACAACGCGCTCCAAACTTTGTCTGTAAATGTGCAACAACATCAATCAATTTGAACCCATACCCTACATAATAATACTCTAGTTTTAGTAAGTAGAATTGCATGCATACCACTACGAACATGTAAAGCAACAAGCACTCACACACATGCAATCCGCTTTGTGTATGTGTGTGTGTGTGTGTGTGATTGAGGGATTAAGAGTGTTAAATGATGTTAAGGATAGTCTACTAAGCAGAGTTAATTTTGAGTTTACTTTTTGTGATTAAGACTAAGATATTTATTCATTTGGCATTGAAGTCTAGTAGCGTGAAAATTGTGAAGCCAAATATATTGTTCCTGTTAGTGTTGTCTTTGTTGTGTTCGTTATGAGTAATATTCGTATATGCCCAGTTTGGGTGTTAAACGCCTTTAAACCTAAATGAAGGAAAAATCAAGCCAATTTGCAACATAAAATCCAAGAAAAAACGAAAAACAAAACTAAACACTACAAAAAATCCATTGAGTACAAACTATACTATATCTGAAACGCCTAATGGACAGGAGCGTAGAGGAGCATGGAAGAGGCATGCTTAAAAACATTCGTATTAAACAATAAACATTTTTAAAAAGCTGCCTATATTTGAGATTTTTAAGTTTTTTGGGTAAATTCACTGTTTATTTACGATAAGTAACCCGTTCCAACTAGCATATTCATATAAACAAATACAATGTAACAACCTTAACTATTGGGCAAAAACACTTTTAAACTGCAACAGCGCTGGCAAAAAGCCAACCAAAATTTAACTACAAAAAAATGTTAAAAAATTTTAAAATTAAAGAAAAAATAGGCATAAAATATTTGTTTAGTAAGTATATACAAAAGCAGCAAAACAAACTAAAAGTTAGCTTTTAGAAAATAATTTCAATTTTGTAGTTGATCTTTTTTATACCTTGTTCGCTTGATGCGCGATCTATTTTGTTGTTGAAGAGTGTTGGTTGTTGTGGTCGTTGTTGTTTAGATAATGTGTCATGTAGATGTTGTAAGTTAATTTACAAAGTGTTCGTTGTTGATTATAGAGTAAATTATACGTTGAGCACAATATTCGTATTTAATTAGCACACATTGAGATCGTTTTTTTATATGAGAACATATTCGGGTTTTAGAGAAAAGAGAAAATATAATGAGAAAATGATTATATGAGAAGTTTATCTTACAGTCATAATTATTTTAATTATTGTAGTTTTTTTTTAATATTTAAATTGATCGGAGCATGCAGAATACGTTATGGAAAGTTGAGCAAATAACACTTAATTTAGAGTCGGCAAAAGGTTCAAAGAAAATATTTGAGAATTTAAAGAAACGTAACGAAATGATTTGCTTATATACAAAACACAAATCATATAATAAAAAAAATGTGGGCAATCCAAAATAAAATATAACATAAATCAAGGTAAGATAACTTAAAATCTTGCGCACCTGCAACTCATCCCAGGGTATAGCGCCACACTCATCACAAGAAATGGCAGCCACTTGCAGACGCACCGAGGATTTAGGACCCTCCTGCTGGCGTATGAGCTCCACAGTGGTCAATCTATGTTTTAAAATATAACTTCGATTAAATCGCTGAATTATCAAACTACGTAGCGTGCAATTGCAACCTAAAGGTGGCCATGGAGACCAGATCCCGTCGCCGCCAGGTGATTGCCTCTGAGGGCTCCGAGGGCGAGGACATGTTTGTCTTATAGCTGCTAGGCTCCTCGTACACCTCGCTTGCTACCTCAACTGGAGAGGCCTTCATATTGTTGTCAGTCGTAAATGGATTGAGACGGAACATAACATCCATGCAGTCCATGGTCTTGTCGTCGCCCATTACAATGGAAAAGTTCTCTGAATCGGAGCTTATGTCACTCTGTACAGAGAAGGTATCACTGGCATCGTCATTGGGCGTGCCCGATTTAATGGCCGAATCAATGGAAGTCATAAAACTGGAGAAGCCCTTCTTCATAGATAGCAGACCCGAATTAATTTCTTTGGTAATACTGGGCACAGCGTCGGTACCAGCACCAGGTCGCACTGTGCTCTTTAAGCTCTTCGAGGCAGATGATATTAATTGCGATTGCATGGAGATGCCAGTGTCAGGCCTTGAGCCCTGACTCGGCGTTGAGGAAGCCAAAGTTGGAGTGCTCTGGATTTGCACATTGTAGCTACAAATATAAATCGAATTAGTGGATTTCTAAGTGGATTAACGAAATTATGATTACCCATGTGTATTGGGATTGGATGTATGAATGCCACTATCAAAGGGCGGATCATTGGTCACTGGGGATGGCGATTCTACGCTTCCAAATGTATTACTTTTCAGCTGATCCAGCGGAGGTGGTGTGGGCCATGTTATATTTGTGCCTGTGAAATTTGTGATTGTTTTATACGAATCGTAACGAGTTTCCGATTAATTTATAATATTTTATAGGCACTTATTAGTTATTGCGTTATTTTAGTTTAAAAACATGCGAGATTATTTATGTGGAAGTGTTTTTGCGAGCCAAATAGAATTTAACTTCTTTAATAATTGTAATATTTATTTATTCAACGACGATATTACTTTATCACAATACGCCATATATTTACAAAGGTTGATATCACGGTGACTCTTATATCGTGATAATACTACATGATAACAAGATTATAAAAAATGTTTTCTTCGAGACGAAACATTAATTGTGTATTTACAAGTATTGGTTCTGTTACTTCCATCAGGCCTTTAAAAACACCCATTACATGTTAACAATTAGTAGTTTGAAGTCCTACAAAAAAATCCTACATTTCGATTTAAAAAAGTATCTTTTTAGTAAATAAGCGAAAGTACAGCATAAAAAGCAAAAAAAAATATGTATATAGAATGGAAAAGGTTCCTTACTAGGGGTTAAGGACAGTGAGTTAGACTAGCTAGTAAGCACGAATCAGTGAAAACTACTTGTGAGATTTTGTTAGTTTTTGGATTTTGTTTTTCGTGATAATTATTGCTATCACTAGGTAGAAACAATTCTTTGGTTAGTTTCGTTAACTAGCGCTTAGTCATTAAATTTAAAACTAAAGAGTTGTTGAGGAGAGACAACAAAAGAAATAAATTTCTTACTATTCATGTGTAAATCATCACCCAAACTAGCTGAATCGGGTAAGACACTTTCAGCATCACCACCACTCGATTCCTTACCAGGTGTTGGCGATGGCATCACAAGCGTCACCTCAATCTGTGGCACAACACAGCCAAATATAATCGACTTTTGTTGATTTTGCTGTACCAAGTTAAGAAAGAAACACCAAGTTAGTTGCATATATCTTTAAAGTGTGTGTGTGTGTGTGTGTGTGTGTGTGTGTGCGCGTGTGTGCGGTAGACGAACCTTTTGCAAGATGCGTTCCGCGTCCAAGTTAAGGAACGTGGACATTTCGTTGAACTCCTCGGCTAGACGCAGCAGAAACAACAATTGATAGTGATCGATTTGCAGGCTAACCAAATTCGATATATGTGCAATCGCATGAACATCAGCGCAACGTTCGATGGGCGTGGAAGCATTCGTTGCCGGTGGCTGCAAGACGCGCACATCCTCATCGCTAAGGAACGGATTGCGTGGCAAAGGTGGCAACGAAGGCAGTGGCGCTAGTCCCATGCTCTCCATGTGCGAGCTAGCAGTGCTTTGACGCCTGCCCAGTTCCAACTGTGCCTGTGCCTGAGCTGCACCTCCTGCATGCAGCCAGAGCGTAATGGGCACCGCATCCACAAAGGGTATGGATTTATTGGGACCTAGCGAGCGAGCGCCCAGAAAATCCACCCATATGGGATCCAATTTAATGCACCAGACATCACGCGGCTCCGACCACATGGCATAGCGTGACAGGCACTGAGTGGATGCGGAACGCGGTAAATGCGTCTGCGTTGGTGTCATGGGTGTCGACATTATGCTCACATCTGAGGCGGCCACGTGCGATAGAATACGATCCGTAACAATGCACATGTCACCCTCGACGGAGGGAAAGCCGGTGCCAAAGACCAGCGAGCCCTCCTGCAGTGAGTGCAGCGCCTGAGCCAAATCCGCACGTGAGCTCCCCATTTCACGTATATTGGTAAGGGCAAAGCGAGAGATTTGGATTTGCATTGTCTTGGGACGATCCTTTTGGTTGGGCGCATCCAGCGCCGCTTCCATGACCACGCGCGGCATAATGGCTTCCACCTTGACATCCATGTACATCAGATTTGGCTCCTGTTCAACGTTGAGCGCAGCGGCCATCTGTGTACCATTGGAGCCATTCGAGGCATTTGAAGCAATGGAGCCGCGCGAGCTCTGTGGCTGGTCCTGCAACGTGGCCTGGGAGCCGACGCTGGTGCGAAGCAAACTCTCGTGCAGATTCAAGCCAAACGAATTCAACCACAATATCGAGCTGAGATCAAAATGCACTTGCAGCGGGTTAATGTGCACAAACATCTTTGAAGGCGGCACTGCAAGATATCCAAAATCAAACAATTGGTATCTAATTGATCATTTAGCATGAATAAAATACTTACGCGGAAAAACAAAATCACCGGGATAGTAAAAGTATGTGTACTCAGCGTGCACTATAGGCATCTCGGCGGGAAACGAGTAACGATCCTTATCACCTAAAATAAAAATCAAATGTCAGTCGAATTGAACAAGAGATGACACCAATTCAACTACAAATGAAACACACAAAGTATTTTGGCATAGGGTAGAATCAATAGATCATACGCGTTAATCTCCTAAGATATTTATTTGTAGTTCAAGTTTATAAATGTAAAATAATTGACCTAATTGTAAAATATTTAATTTGAAACAAATCAAATAAATAACTTTCAAATTAAACAATGTTTTATTGTTATATGGGATAATTCTTTTTAAATATCCCTCAACTTGAATTGAAAAAATATTTAGTAAACATTGAGTTTGTCACATAAACCGCTAAATACAAATTTGTTTAAGCGAATTCGGGGTTGATCTATTTATTCCGCCCATTGCCCACAGCGCAATGCTTGCATGATATTCACCTGAGGATTTGTTTTTCCTTTTGTGTTGTGCTACAATAACAACAGAATGACAAAAACAGGCACAACAAACAACAAAAGCGTTTTACAAACGTGACAATTAGATGATGAGGATGTCATGACGGCAAATAAAAACATGTGAATTGTGTTAAAAGGACAATAAAACAACAAAAGGAACAAAGCAGAGAACGAGAGAAAGAGAAATTTGTGAAAATTCATTAGTTAAGCGGTGTAAGCGTAGGTTTGGCATGTTTGTGGGTGAGTCTGTGTGATGCTTTAAATATTAATGTACATTTTTCTTTACTAAAAAAGCGGGCTTTATGTACTGTAATCTTATATAACATTATTGTCCCGCTGCAACTGTTAAAAATTGAAAATTGAATGTATGTATGTATATGTGTGTTTACTTTTTTAATATTTTTTAATGTGGAGAAATGGAGTTTGCTAATTGGTTCATACCTGAGACAAACTCTTTGGGCATTTGCTTTTTGCCCGACGTAGTCACGCGGTACAACGTAAAATCTTCGATTCTCAGTATGAAGCAGGAGCTCATCAGCTTGGCCAGATTCTCCAGAGTACTGCGCTGCTGGGCTGCTTGTGTGTACTGACTGCTAGCCGAGGCATTGCCCGAGCCGCCAACCGAGCCTGAACCGGAGCCCGAACCGCCGGCAGCCGCTGCTGCAGTAGGCGTGCTGCTGCCATTGGAGCCGGGGCCACCGCTTCCGTATTGTGAGCCCAGTAGCGAGGCATTCAACATAATGGGGGAAGCTGGCGCGCTGCGGTTCAGCGGTGCATGGGTTGCCGGTCGATTGGGCTGACTGAGATTAAGCACTGCCTCACGAAAAGCATTTAGCGATTCTTTAAGCCACAGCGCAGGCGCCACCGACGCCTCCTTGTACTTGGCCCAGTGCGAGCGATCCGATTTGGCCAAATGATAGGGATAGTAATCCACCTGAAACGCAGTCACAGATACCTGCAGGGCACCGCCTTTGTCCAGGTCAGGATAACTCGAACGTCCATCGCCTTCATCATCGCACAAGTGCAAATCAATGCGTTGACTAAAGAAATGATATGAGGTTTCGCGTACATCGAATGCATTGAACATCCGCTGGGCCGTTGTCGTGTGTACCGATTCCGAGAGGCGATTCTGTTGCTGTGCTACCTGCGCCTGGTATTCAGGCAGAGTCTAAGCGAAGGCGATGAAAAGCAATATTAGTTATTAGCCGAATCCATATATTTTCCAATTCTACAAACCTGAAGTTTGCGCGCGGCCTTTGTCTTTTGTGTAGCATGTGTGGCTGCCTTGATTAATCCCGAAAGTGAGTCGACGAAATGCAGCGCTGCCTTCAGCTGCGAATCGGTCAGCACCCACAGCAGATCATCCAGTATGAGAACTAGTCGCGAAGCCAACAAAGTACAATCCGCTAGACGTTTGCGAATGGTAATACGGCAACGCGCATGGTTCGTCAGCAAACGCAGCGGAGTCAGGGATTTGTCCTGAGTGGAGCTGGCCTCGATGCGCACCGTTTGCCAAGAGAGCTCTTTAAAAATTAATATGATGCCCTTATGAGCATCTTTAAGGCGCGTCAAACGCAAATCGGCGTTAACCCATTTCGGCGTCTTGGACTCCACGCGTATGCGCGACATTTGCACGGAGGCGGTGAAAGCGGCACTCACAAAATTCACATTGACCGTGTTCACCACAATGGTGATGCCGTCAACGACCTTGTGAATGAAGCTGTATTTACCCTGAGGCACTTGCGGAAGCGCTGCGGCGGTAGCATTTCCTACGCCAGCATCGCGGCTTGTGGGATTGCAGGTCTCGATGGTAATGCGCACCTCGTCGAGCGTCTATTCGAAATGGAGAAAGCGATTACCAAATTGTTCAGATCATATAAAAACTGTTAACTTACCAATGTTATGGGCACGCTTTTAAGCTTGGTCCAGCTGATTCGAAATGAAACATGATTGCACCAGGCCGATGTCAGGCGCAGCCAACTGGGCAGTTCCAATAGCTCGGTGAGCACACGCTCATCCAATTCAAGATTCGACAGCTCACCCTCACCTCGAAATGTGCTCAAATTGATTTTGTCCGATGAAAGATTCTTCGTGTAGCTATTAAGTTGAGATAAAAACCGATAGATATTAACAATGCATAATTGAGATTGTACCAAGATGTTTATTTCAACATGGTTGCGCCCAAAACTGTCAACACCCATTTGAGGAAACAAGTGGCGCCAAAGTCAGCTTCGGCGTCAAATGGTGACCCGTCAGTTGCCATCAATTGACCCATTTCAAATAATTCATTTGCATGCATAATTGAAATCGGAATATTGATTAAATTGCAGTTTCTAGCTTTTCAAAAGATATCTGAGTTTCACGTGAATCAAGAAATATTAAATACTTTAACAATATAGGAATATCCTTACAAACATCTTTTTAAACATATATAGAAAATTTCGTTTTGTTTGTCATACTCGAGGGTTCTTTGTTTGACGAATTAACTCTTTTTAAATAAGTATTTAGTACTATATTTGACCATATGTTTTATCGATGCGTTATTTATATTAAACGTGGGGGGCAAACAAAACTGGAGAGAAGGCAACAAGTTGGCTTTGTTTGAAGCTTAACTGCGTATGATGCAGAAATTTATAATACACTAATACTACACAATAGGTTCTTATATCGATGCCTTCTTACATACGGACTGACGGACGGACAGAGAAACGTACAATGCTTGATCCACTCGTCTATTTATGCTGACCACGAATATATACATATGTATTTACACTTTATGGGTCGCAGATACTTCCTTCTGCCTTTTACATAAATTTGTAAAAAACCAGCTTCCCAGCTGTTACGGTTTGGGCTGTGCGTCGATCAGGATAAATCGTTTTATATATAGAAATATGTTTGTAAATTCTTAGATGTGTACACAACAATACACCAACAATAACAAGAGGACACGCAAAGAAAAAAGAAAACATTACGATGGGTCAAAAAACATTTTTGTGGGCCCCAAAATCAGAGAGAATCCGGTTTGTCATTACTGTGAACTTTTGCTAACCTGATTAAAACTAATATCCAATCTATGTGTACAGTTATACAAACGCATATGCTTTTGGGTAAAAAACTAAGTAAAACATATTGTAAAGTCTAAACAAAATTTAAAAAATAAAGAATGCAAAAGCCGGTGACCCATTTAATTTTAATTGGTTTCTTTTCGATAACAGATGTAAACACGAGAACGAGAGAGGGAGGTGCGACCTTTCACTTGTTACTCTTAGGGGGTGGAGTGGGCAAAAAATGTACGTTCTTATGGGGGCTTAAAGGTACACGGTAAAGAAACCACGCACCCCTTCATGCAATTGTTGAGAGGCTGCAAGAAATACACATACATAAACAGTGGCGGACACCGACACACACTCAGGGACAACGGCATTTAGGCAACAACAACGAGAAGAACAGTAATTGAAACAGAGCAAAAGCAGCGCTTGGAAAAATCAATTTAATTTCCCTCGGCAACTGGCGCCAGAGCAACCGACCGACCTCTACAAGGCCGTAATTAGCATAAAGTTTACAATTCAATTTAATGCTAACTCGTTTATATTGACACTTACATGGACAAATGCTTGAGCAATTGGTTTTTTATCAGCGAGACCATTTTGCGACGTCAGCAGGCGGCGGGCGGGTTGCGATTATCAGGCACTGATGCAAAGACAACAGTAGCAGCAGCAATGATGACGATTAAAAACAATCTCGCAGCAGTCTACTGCACTCTCAGCACATTCTTTCGTTAAAATATAGAGGCACAAAGGAGCACTTGAACTGTTTTGCTTTATATGCGAATTTTTAATTCAAGCCTGAGAAATGGCTTTTGTGGATATAACTTAAAGCCGTTTTCAGGCGTTACGCATGCATAAGAGCTTCCGGCATCGGTTTGTTTAGACTACGCGCGTATTAGTCATAATTTATAGAATTTTTTATTATTTTTAGCAATTCTTATCGCGAACCTTTTCTTGCGTGCAATCGACGCAGATACTGGTGCTTAGAGATGCGCATAATCGCTGTACCTGTGACTCGGTTTCTGTGACTAAGAATTCACTCTTCCTAATTTATAAAAACATAGAGAGAGAGAGAGAGTCTCATTTCAAAAATTGAAGACCGATTTTTTTTAACAAATGCAGCAAAAATAACACTTACACAGCTATTCTCTTCTCTATTGTATGTACTTATCGATAGCATCGATTTATATCTTCCTTAATCTCAAGCAATACTGCACACTATTTTCGAGTGCTATACAGCACTACTAGCTTGCATACATTTGCATTTCACATCTAATAAAAGTTTAAGTTTAAGTTTCTGTTTAAAGTGTCTGCTTCAAGAGTCAACCAAATAACCCGCAAGCAATTATTTTAGAGAAATCGATAAAGTCCATTTGACAGGCTACAGTGCAATGTCGAGTGGCGATGTGGCTTCAGTGGACGAACTAGTCGAGCGCGTGGTGGAAGTTACCGCTTGCACAGCAGAGGAGGCCAAACACTACCTTGGCGCCTGTGCCAACGACGTTGCCGCAGCCGTTGCTTTGTTTTTTGAACAGGGTGGCAGCAGTGCAGGCATTGACGCTTCGACGTCCAGTACAGCAGCCGCTGAGAATGAAGAGGAGGTGCGTGCACCCATTGCGCCAGTACGGGAACAACTTCTCCTACCGGAGGACGATAATTTTTTCGCGTCTGGCAGCAGTAATACCAGTCGTTTATCCCGAGTAACGCAGCGGGTTAAGGTTTGTCCCCTACGTGATTTCGCACGTGAGGGTGCCCTAATGGAGGAGCAGCTTCAAGCCACGGGAGTTTACTCAGATCCGAGCACGCACCGCCGACGGCGAGAGCGTTCTGCTCAAATGGTTGTGGCTGGACAGGCCATGTCGCTACAAAGCCGCTCAAGCGGCAACTCTTCGTCCCGCCTTGGAGATCTTTTTCGGCCACCCACTGACCTGCTCTACTCAGGCTCGCTCGCAGCAGCGCGTGAATTTGCCAGCAAACGAGAGAGATGGCTACTTGTTAATGTTCAAGGCGACAATTTTCAGTCGCAAACGATGAATCGCGATGTTTGGAGCATCAAGGAGCTAAAACAGTTGGTACGACGTCAGTTCGTGCTCTGGCAGGTGGATAACGATAGCTCAGAGGGTCGGCGTTTTGTCGCCTTCTATCACTGTGCTAAGTTGCCATATTTGTGCGTTATAGATCCACGCACTGGAGAAGAGGTCTGGCGCAGCCCAGAGCCCAATCAGCAAAATGTAATGCCGGATTTGCGGCAGTTTCTGCGGGATCATCGCGACTTTTCACTAGAGGAGGCGAGTACCTCAAAACGCGCAGCCATTCAAATTGATGACGACGACGATCAGGAAGACGTTGCCTCGTGCTCCTCTTCAACCGTTGGTACTCCCAAAAAGCGCGCCAAACTATTGGAACTCAGCGAGGAGGAGCAATTGGCGCTGGCTATCAAGAATTCTATGAATGAAAATGGCGGCGCTGCGGAAACTAAGAATGCTAATGCCAGCGACTGTGAGAGCCTAGAGGAGTTCGACGAGGACGAGCTCAAAGGCGCCGCCATTTCTTATGAAGCTCAACTGGGCTCGCAAGCGGAGGAACTAACTGCTATGAAGCTGCGCCTTATCGACGCCGAAGGCAGCGAAGAGGTTATTCAATTGCGGTGGCCCTCTGATACCAAGCTAAAGACACTGCGTGTGTATATACGGCAAACGCACAAGCACATACCACTGGAGGGCTACAAGCTGATCTGTGCTTTTCCGCGCAAGTCGCTTGAAATGGAGCACAACGAAGCCACGCTGAAAGAACTGGGCCTGCATCCCTCCGCTAATGTGCATCTCACGCTGGACGAGTAACTGTTTATATCGGCGATTTGCTATAATATTTATTTCACGTTATTTGTCTTATCCTTCTACTATACATGAATTAAATACCTACATATACTAAATTAATAATAAGGGAATAATAAATAAAATCATGAACATACGCTATGGTTCAATTTTAATGATCAAAGGCTTGTTTTAAATTATATTCAGCAAAATTCCATTTCACAAAGTATGCCAATTCAAATAATTGTATTACGCGCCCAATTGCAGTATGGCAACACTGCAGTGTATATATCTAACAAATTTAAATGGCAGCGCTAAACACATGTTCTTCAGAAACATCTGGCAAGGGCACATATGCCCTTCTTAAGGCATTTAGATTCAATAGAAAGTTTAAAATAAGTAAATTAAATATCTTAATATTTTTATAATTTTAAAATAGGCAATTATTGTAGCTTTACTGCACAATACAATATATTACTACAAACACATAAAAAACTTGCTGAAAAATAGCGCACACTATTTTCGACCAAACACTATAAGTTCATCAAATGCCGTTTAATCCCAAGCAGCAAAGTGGCCACGTAAAAAGTAAATGCCAACGCCAGCATATGTACGCAAGTAACGAATTTGTTTTGTGTAAATAAACACAAACCGAATATAAGTTTTGGTTCGTCAACAATAGAAATGCTTAAGCGGCAAGCTCCACAGCTGCTAAAGTTAAAATGTGTGACGTGAGCGCCGCTTAATATAAGTAGTAAAAACAACAATCCATTATCACTAGCCACACGCACAGCATGGACGAGAAACTAAAGTATTCGCTGCTGCGCGGCGAACTAGTGGACACCCAAAGCATTTGGAACAGGTAATTATTCCAGAGTCAATTTCCGAGCTCAATTATTGAATTTCCTTTTGAAAATGATGCATATTCGCAGGCATGAGAAACGCGTTTGGTTCATCACGCTCTTGACAGGCACTTGTATGCTGTATTCAACGCGCACAACGATGCCGCTGCTGGTGCCAGCCGTAGCGGCCGCTCAAAAGTGGAGTAAAACCGATTCCGGCACTGTGCTCAGTTCATTTTTCTGGGGCTACACCCTGACCCAAGTGATGGGCGGGTATTTCAGCGATCGCTTCGGCGGGCAGCGTGTTATATTGTTTGCTGCACTCGGCTGGTCCATTATCACATTTCTAATGCCCACAATTATCTGGTCGGCAGCATCAGTCAAGGGTTATGCGATACCCATCATTGTTACCATTCGAATCCTTAATGGAGCCCTGCAGGGCGTACACTTTCCTAGCATGATTAGTTTGACTAGTCAGGTAGGGGATTTCATTAACATATTTATGTACTTTTATATATATTGTGTATTATTTTTGCTTGCAGAATTTATGTCAAAATGAGCGCAGTAGCTTCTTTGGTCTGCTCACTTCCGGTTCGGCGATGGGCACGCTGCTGACGGGCATCATGGGCTCCTTTGTGCTGGACTACTTTGGCTGGTCGTATGTTTTCCGAGTCATTGGCTTGATGGGGTTCGCCTGGGCTCTGGTATTGCGTTACTATGCGATGGCCGGCGAGCGCAATCGAATCATTAACATCTCCATGCCTGCGCGACTGTGCGTCAATAAGGCACCCGCGGAGGCATCTGTGCCCTGGCTGTGCTTCTTTAGCCGGCTGCCCTTTTGGGCGTGCGTGCTGACGCATGCCTGTGAGATGAACTGTTTCTTTGTGCTGCTCTCCTGGCTGCCAACATACTTCCACGATGGATTTCCCCATGCAAAGGGCTGGGTGGTTAACATGATACCATGGCTAGCACTGCCACCGTGCACGTTTTTTGCTAAGTACTTGACTACACGACTAATAGCCAGAGAATGGTCCACGACGACAGTGCGCAAACTTATACAGAGTTGTTGTTTTGCGGCACAGAACGTTGCGCTTTTTATAATGAGCCGCACCACGAACTTTCACACGGCTTTGATTTGTATGACTATCATCATTGGCGGCACGGGCTTTCACAACAATGCGGTTACTGTGAACCCGCAGGATTTGGCGCCGTTGCATTCCGGAAGTGTTTTTGGCCTGATGAACACAGTAGGCGCCATACCCGGCTTTCTGGGAGTTTATCTAGCTGGGCACATACTGGAACTGACGCAGAGCTGGCCGATGGTTTTTAGTGCGGCGGCAGGCATCAACTTGATCGGCTGGATTATATTTCTGGTCTTTGGCTCTGCTGAAGCCCTTGTATAATTTCTAATACATTCTCGTGACGATTTCCGTGTGAGGAAAATATTTATTAAAATGTGTAGATAGTTTAGGAGGTTTAGTTTATGATTTACATACATATATCTGATATCAAATCTGAGTATTTGAATAAAAAAAGCCAAATGATTATTTTTTGTAATTACAATTATTGTAGGAGCTTTCTAATGTTCCCAATAGCTCTCAGCCATGTACGTAGATGGCCTTAGTCTGTGTTACTTAGTGTCTGGATCGATTCGTACGTAGCATGGCTGGTGGATGGCGAGATGCTGCATGTTGCGTCCGGAAAACTTTTGTAACGTCTAATTTTCAATCTCGTCCATTGTCATGGGAATGCAACGCTGTGCGCTTATCTTAAAACTCGTGAAAATTTATAGTTTTCATAATATCTTATCTGGTATTTATTCAATTTAGTTTTTTTTTTTTTGGAACCGCAGTAATTTGCGTACTGAGCTTAACAGCCAAGCAACAGTTGGTATTTGGCGGTCTGGCAACGCTGAAATGCTGCAAGCAAATTCTGTCCCTCGCATTTCCATATTTAAATTCGTATATTAATTGAGCAAAATGTCAGGCCGGCGTAAGGATATGTGGAAATTGTTGTACAATTTGGTGAATCGCAACCAAGGCAACTTGTCAGCCGTATACAATGTGGTCGACGACATTCTTTGTCAGGATCCGAGCCTTATCAGCTGCTCGTCGGTGCGTGAGCTGAAAAACAAATTTCAGGACACCTTCCTGCTCTGGCTTTTAAACAAACTCGCCGGATGTTTAAGTGAGTGTGCGGATGAAGGGTAAGTGTAGTTCAGGTTAATATAAATAAATATTAATCGATGTCATTAGACTGTGTTTGAAGAACGTGCAGCTACAGCAGAAACTGCTCGTATCCTGTTGGTCCAATCATCCCAAGCTGTATGAAAGTCTTGTTGAGGCCTACGTGCAGGCTCTGCAACAGTTATATGATCAAATGAGCGCCTTTGACTACACTAATCCCAACAAAAATTCGAAGGAGTTGCGCACTTTGAATTTGCACATCTTTTGCTGCGATGTCAGTGTTCTGCAGGAATTCGATGAACAGTGTGCATTCCAAGTCATCCAATTGCAGCTGGAGCAAGCGGATGCCTACGCCAAGTACCTATTGCTGGTGCTGCTAGAAGCACATCAGATTGGACGTGCCACACATAGCGAACTGTTTGCTGGAAGCATGCAACAGGCGCTACTAACGCTCAAAGAGTGCAATATGGATACCAAGCTCACCTGTCTGAGTTACTGTCATGCCGTGCTACAAGCACAGTCCATGGCAAGTTGGTCAAGCAACGTGAATGTTGCACATTATGCATCCATAACGCTGCGGGCTGTGGTGCTTATGTGGTCCCTGTCCAGCCGCTGGAAAGCCAAATGCATGACGCAAACGCAACTGGAGCGACTGGCCACACACACACAGAAACTGCTGCGAGTATTCATGGAGCAACAGATGTCTGATTTTGATAGCCTTGAGCTATGCTGTCAACTATTGCATGAGGTGCTGAGGCTGCCTGCCAGCGACTGGCGTGACAATCTTCTGCAGACGTTGTGCAGCTACTTACAACATCAGATGTTGGAGGCCAATTTAGTTTTACCCCAAAACACATCTCAGCTTGTGCTGCGTCAGTGGCGCGGTCAGCCCACGGCCCTACTGTCGTTGCTTGCTGTGGTTGCTGCTAAGCAGACTGCAATGCGTGACAAGATCTTGTTTAGCCTCAGCCACAGTCTTGTTCAACTACTGACCAAAACGACACCCGAAGAGCTGCCTGAATTGTTGGCCCTGCTGCGTGCGTTAAAGCAAATAGAGCACCTTTTGCTGCTCGGAAAGCAACAAGAGCTGGTGGTTGCTAGCGATGAGGCGCTCAATGCCGCGCTGCTGTTGCAGCTGCCCCAGCACTACGAATTTTCACTGCATGCAGATGCCAACACCAATTGGAATCATTTGAGTTTGCAGCTTTTGGAGGAATCACAGTGTTCAGACCAGCCGGAGTTTGTAGAAATCTGTGCACTTCTACTGCAGTCCAGCTGCCTACGGCTTCAATTGAAGCCGCACACACAACAACAACTGCTGGGCGTGCTGCAACGTACACTACAGTCAGACCATCAAGATAAGAGGAGTCAGTGCTTACTTGCCCTGGTCACGCTTCGTCTGGAGACGCCCTCTAGCGCGCACACACAAGTGCAGAGCTTCTTTGCACAACAATACCTAGCACTGCTCAATTCTGAACATCCAGACATAACGGAGCTGATCTGCGAGCATCTGCCTCAGCTTTATGTGGCAGGTTATATAAAAGCCGCACATTTGCAGCAGGCGCTACCAAAACTGAAACAAACAGAAGATGGTCACACGCTGGCAGCTGTTATGCGCTTGTTGCTTTGCACCCAACAGCCGGGAGCGGCGCATGTCTTTAAGATCAGGGAACGCATTGTAATGCACTGTCTTAAGTGCGACGCACTGCCTGCCACATTGCCTGGCATTTATTTGGGCACTTGCAAACCGAGCAGTATACCTGTCAAGCCGTTGAACTGCTCCAGCTTAACGGTCCTCGCCGAGTCAATTCTCTTTATGCCGAAATGCGCCTTCATTACACATCACTTGGATTTGGTCAACCTGGAGCCGTCACTCTGCCTGCGTCTGCTTAAGGAGGCGCCCGATCTGCAGTCACTCAATGAACATAGCTTCGAGCGGCTAGTGCCAGTGCTAGCAGCTCAATCTACAGATTTCATGCAGCAGTTGGCAACGCTAGTGCTCGATTGGATCGTGGGAACTCTATCTAAGCCATTGGAGGAACAGACGGAGTCTGAGCAGCGAAAGCTGTTGTGTGTGGTCGTTTGCGCAGCACATAAGGACATCGATGAGCTCTGGCTGTTTCACTGGTTCAAAATGACCTTCTATTTTCTGGTCCACACGCGTTCACTAGTCGCCCAGGAGGCGGTGCTCTCCGCATGCCAAATGTGCGCGCGCCATGGTTTGCAAACGCTCACTCTGTGGAACTGGTACAAGCGTGATGCGCTCGGTTTGGTTGTTCAGCTGGCGCTACAAGCGTATTTAACAGAAGGCGTACGCTTTACACGCTCACTTAGAGCGGTGAGTCTTAGAATATAAATTCCAAGAGTACTTCTTATTCGTTGTTTAATTTGCAGCTGACCAAGATGTTGGGCTTCTCGTGCGTGCAGGAGTTCACCTGTAAATATCACCGCCTTCTGACCACCTTAGTTCTGCCCTATTGTATTAAGGAGCCACGCTGCAAGGGCGTCTTTGTACTTATAGCAAAGCAGCTGCATAAGCCTGTTGCTTCGCTGTTTGCCACGTCCTTTTTACGTCTCTATGCACACGTTTATCTCAGTGAACCGCCAGAGCTGGCTAATCGTTGCATTGAGTTGGTCGCCAGCTGCACACAGTCCACTGTGCAGCAACTTATGAATGCCGACGTGAAGGTGGGCTTACAAAACTTTAAATGTACTTATGCAAACCCATATGCATGTCGTTTTTTTTTTATTTAGCAAACCGTTGCCGAGTTGCTCATCTATTTCAATCGCAACCCGACCTTTGTGATGCGATCCTTCCAAAGTCTGTTGCAGCTCAGCATTGGCAACGAGAACCTATCCACCCAGGCGACCAATGCTCAGTTCTCCACGTTTATAGCGGAACGAATACTCGGTGTCATCACCTATTTTGAGAGTTGCTTGTCGGAACCATCGTTCGAGAAGCCACTTAAAGAGGAAACACTGTATAGTCTGGGCCAGATACTGCGCTTTGTGGGCCCACAACATGTCACACAATTTCGCTTTAAGATCATAGCCATGCTGAGTTTTGTGCACACACTCCAAGAGCCGAGTCTGCAGCGCATTTGCCTAAAGATTTGGCACATCTTCCTGCATGTTGTGAATATACAGGAATTAGGTCCTTCCTTAGGACGCATTGTGGCCACGCTGCAACCGCTGCTTGAGTACAGTGTGGAGCAGGTAAATGAGCTCTACGAGTTTGTCATTCTACGCAATGCTTCCATGCTTGGCAGCTTTATACAAGGTGCGTAGCTGATTTAACCGTTTCCTGTTCGGATTTGTATATCTATCTTAATTATAGATTTATATTTCCTGGAACGCTTGGAACATGTATCGGCGCCGATACGTGAATGTATCAAGCGGCACACGGCCCAGCTATGTCTTGGCGGCGCTATGACAGGCGAAGAGGAGGCCCCACTGCTTGATCAATTGCGCTTTTTACATAAACAAATCACTAACGAGTGCTTGCAGGTGCGCGTCTATGGACTAGAGCATCTGGCCGAGCTGTTTGGCCGCCGTCGAATCCAACTGAATCACATGATACTGCACGAGCTGCCGATGGAACCGCTAATGGAGCAGATAGTCAATGTGCTAATGTCTGGCAGCCAGCACGACGATCGTTCGCTGCAGCTGTCCTCGGCCAAGTGCCTGGGAGAGTTGGGTGCCATCGATGCCAGTTATTTGCCCTCGAATTACAACTTTGCCAGTCCGCAGCAGCTGCCGCTGAGCGTTCTTACTGACGACTTTACGGTGCTGGCCTTAACGGCACTCTGTCGTGGTTATCAGTTCCAGCAGAAGACTAAGCACGTTGACAGCTTTTCGCTGGCCATACAGGAGACGCTCGCCGTTTGCGGGATTGCGCCCAAGGAGCAAAAGAAAATACAGCTTTGGCAATCGTTGCCGCAGCGAATGCGCGAGATCATGGAACCATTACTTAATTCCTGCTATACATGCTCTCAGCGCCCCAGCACGCTGACACAGCAGCCACTCTTCGGCAGCCACTACACGCAGAACTCCTACGAGCTGTGGGCGTTTCTCTGGGCTGCGCGACTCGTGGACTACGTGCAGTCCACAGAGACCCGGCATTTGCTGAGCTCATACAAGCCCTGCATAAGGCGCGACTCGAACATGTTGAGCACATTTTATCCTTATATCCTGTTACATGCGCTTCTTGAGTGCAATGCAGAGCAGCGTGGACACATTGAAGAAGAATTCCAGACGGTGCTGCAGGCTAATGAAGAGCTGTCTCAGCGAGTAGCTACAGCATCTAAGACACCTGGCGAGCTAACGCCAACATCCAATAATACTGGCGGCTACAAGCTCTTTGAATCAAGAAAATATAGAGCTTCTACTAAGTCAGCTAATGATGGTCCCCAGGTGGGTTCCAGTGCAGAGGATCAATCACGTTTGGCTGGAAAACTGTGCGCGGAGCTGTTGGACTTCCTACAACGTTGGCTCCGCGAATGGCAGCGCTTGCATGGGCTAAGCATGGCCGGCAAGCCTCCCCAAAATGTGGATGCCAATTATGGTGCCATCTATGAGTTCCTGCAACGCATTGACAAGCTGCGCGTAGCACGTACCAGTTACAACTGTGGCGAGTATGCGCGAGCTCTCCGCTACCTGGAGGCCTATATAGAGGAGGGCGATAAGGCGGCGCGTTTGCTTGAACAGTTCACATTTCTCGTGGAGCTCTATGGGCGGCTGATGGACGCTGATTCGGTGGAGGGTGCAGTGCAGACCCGCAGCTACGATATGAGCGTCACGCAGGAGATTCTAGTAAATCGTTTGGTCGAAAGACAGCAGGATATGATCACCTGCTATGAGCAACTGCTTTCCAGCACGGATCCACTGCAGCCAGAGCACATACGGGCCATCATCGATGCCTATTTGCGCATGGACACGCCCAAGACGGCGCTACTCATTGCCGATGGTCTCGCGCAGCGTCTGTCAGATCGGCATACGGATCAGTATTTCAACGAATGTAAAGCGGAACTCCTATGGCGCCTAGGCAGCTACGATGAATTGGAGGAGCTGCAGCTCCAGCAACAGCAGCAAAGTCGCTACAAACCCAACTGGCATGCCCAATGCGCCCAGGCCTGCCTGGCCCTAAGACATCCTGCGACCACCAACTTAGAGTTTGATTCGCTACTAGATAATATGCGCTGCTCAGTGCTGGAGCAGCTGCGCAGTTGTTCAGCCCTGCAGCAGCATTCCTATGCGCATGCCTACGATGATGTGCTGAAGCTGCACATGCTGCGCGAACTGCAGGGCTGCCAGCAGCTGGTGGAGCAGCTATCAGAGCTTCCCCAGGATGAGGAGCAGCAGCAGGCGCAGGTGATGCGCAGCTACTTTGCCGATTGGCAATCTAGGTTACAGGTGCTACAGCCGCAGCTGCGCGTGCTGGAGCCCATTTACAGTTTCCGTCGGAATTTACTGGCGGAGCTAAAGCATCGTCTGGGCGAGCGTTCACCACTGCAGGCTCAGCTACGAACGCAGCTGGCGCAGCTCTGGCTTAACAGTGCCCAGATTAATCGAAATGCAGGTCAGCTGCAGCGGGCTCACTTGTATTTGATGAAGGCCGAGGAATACAGGCCAAGCCGACTGTTTCTGGAGCGCGCCAAGCTGTTGTGGCAGAAGGGCGATCAGGTGCTGGCAATGAACTACCTGGAGGAACAGCTCTCAGTCATTGGGAGGCAATGCGAGGGCAACATCAAGCAGCTCAGCGGCGAGCAGCGCCGGCTTTACTTTGAGGGCAAATACCTGCAAGCCACGTACAATGCGGACTCAATGAACCTTTGCGCCGACGCCATACTCAAGTACTTCCAGGAGGCAATTGCGGTTCAACGTCAATCGGAGCGCTGCTACGTGCAGCTGGCGCAATTTCTAGAGAAGATGCGTGAGGCGCGAGCCGTTGCAGCAACCAATGCGCAGACGCGCGAAGACGAGGAGCTGCTGCTGCAAATCATGCTAAACTATGCCAAATCTCTGCGCTATGGCAGCGATCATGTCTATCAGTCCATGCCGCGCCTTATCAGCCTCTGGCTGGACACAGCTGCCACCGCTGTATCAACCACTTCCCACGCCGAGCTGGTGCGCAAAATGAATGATCTGCTGAACAACTGCTGCTCGGCGTTGCCCACTGCCATGTTCTATACAGCGTACTCACAAATGCTGAGCCGCCTGTGTCATCCCTCGGCCGAAGTGTTTGCTGTGCTTCGCAATGTGATCATCAAGCTGATTGGAGACTACCCGCAGCAGTCGCTCTGGATGCTGCTGCCTCATTTTAAGTCCGCTGCTGTCAACCGAGTCAAGCGTTGCAAGCTGATACTCACCGATGAGCGACTACAGAACTCCACATTTCAACGTTTATTGAGCGACTTTAATACCCTAACCGACCGGCTGATCTGCGTCACTAACAAGGAGGTGACACTTGATCGCAGCTATAAGCTTAGCGATCTGGACAAACGATTACCGTTGCTGTGCAGCCAGGCGAACTTCTCCAACATTCTGCTGCCCTTTGAGAAATACATGCAGCCGACATTTAACATAAGCTCGACGCAGGATAATACTCCTTCGCCCAGTCCTGGCGCCAGCACATTGCCAGCAAGCAATTGGTTTCCGTATCGACACATCTATATAACTGGTTTCCAGGAGAAGGTGCTCGTTTTACGCTCAGCAGCGCGGCCCAAAAAACTGACTATTCGCTGCAGTGACGGGCAGGACTATGATATTATGGTCAAGCCTAAGGATGACCTGCGTAAGGACGCGCGTCTAATGGAGTTCAATAGTCTAATGAAGCGCTACCTCCACCAGGACGCGCGTGCCCGCCAGCGTCGCCTGCACATACGCACCTATGCCGTGCTGCCGTTTAATGAGGAATGTGGTCTGCTCGAATGGCTCCCAAATCTCAATTCGTATCGTGGGATTTGCATTGCATTGTACATGCAGCGTGGGCAAGTGATGAGCGGCCGACAACTGCAACAGCTGGCGGTGCCACAGATGGAGCCGATGGAGCGCAAGCGTGAAGTGTTCCTAAAGCAGCTGTTGCCGGCCCATCCGCCCGTCTTTCAGGAGTGGCTCCTCCAGCGCTTTACCACGCCCCACAGCTGGTATGAGGCACGCAACTCGTATATACGCACCGTGGCCGTCATGTCCATGGTGGGCTACATACTAGGCCTAGGCGATCGACACGGTGAAAATATACTCTTCGATGAACGCAATGGCGATGCGGTCCACGTGGATTTTAATTGTTTATTCAATCAAGGCGAAGCCTTTGCCTATCCCGAGGTGGTGCCATTTCGCCTTACCCACAACATGATTACGGCTATGGGGCCGCTGGGCGTAGAGGGCAGCTTCCGTAAGTGCTGTGAGATAACGCTGCGTCTTCTTAAGCAAGAGACCAAGACGCTCATGTCCATGCTGCGCCCATTTGTCTACGATTTGGGCGTCCAGAGTCGACTACCCTCAACAGCTAGCAACAAGAGCAAAAACGGTGCTGAGCTGACCGATCCCAAAGTGACCAACGACGTGCAGCGCATTGCGGAGCGTCTGCAGGGACATGTGAGTAGTATTTTGACCCCTATCCAAGACAACTACTCAAATTCAACCCGTTTCCAAAGGTCAAGCGACAGCAGGCGAGCAGCATACCCCTGTCCACAGAGGGACAGGTAAACTTTTTAATCAACGAGGCCACCAAAGTTGATAACCTCGCTTCCATGTACATTGGCTGGGGCGCTTTTCTTTAGTTCCTTAAGCAATCTCATTTGAATGTCGTGTGTTCTTTGTATAGTTGAGTATATAATAAGATTGTATTTAAAAAAAGTTTAGATTGTTATGCTTAAGAATTAAATACTTTCCATACATTTAACATTTTTTTTGGTTTCAGATTACATATTTATTTCAGATTGGCAAGATTTTCATGTTTGAAAGCTTAGTTTCAAAAATATTTTAAACTAAGACGGACGGACAGCAGCATCACAATAACACATTTTTTTTTTTTTTTTTTTTTTAACATAATTATTATTTATTTTATTTAAAATCTGCCCCCTTTTTGGGCAATAATTAAATGTTTTCTTTGACCTATGGCAGTTATGTATTGCGTGTATCTATGTGTCTGTTTTGTGTGTTTAGTGTAGGGGAAGCAGTGGAATTTGTGGAGTTAGACTCTTTGGGGGAGGTCAAGTGGGTGTTTCCTTTTGAGCCGTCTTGTTGTTGAGTTGTTGTTTAAAAGGTTGGTGGCAAGATTATTTGGGTGGTTGCCTAGTCTGGCGATGTAGCGATCACTCAACTTGGCAATTACCTCTTTAACCCAAGGTATATTAAGCTGGCTGTGAATTGTGGTATTTTCATGGTAAATATGCGCGTTAGATAAAATTCGCAGAGCTTTATTTTGAAACCGCTGAATAATGTTCAGGTTGCTCTTGCTGGCGGTACCCCAAAGATGGATGCCGTAAGTCCATGTTGGCTTGATAATTGTTTTATAGATTATTAGCTTGACGCGAAGCTTCAATTTGGACTGTCTACCAATCAGCCAGTAATATTTTTTTAGCTTGTTTTCAGCCTGCTTTCTTTTGCGCACAATGTGTTCACGCCATGTCAGCCGTCTGTCGAGTGTGATGCCAAGATAATTGGGCGTTGTGCTTACCGGAATCTGTAATCCATCTAGGAAAACTTGAGGGCAGTTCCCTTTGCGCAGCGTAAAGGTGGTATGGGTGGACTTTTCCTGGTTTACCGCGATGTTCCACCTTTTCAGCCAGCTGTTTAGGGAGTCCAATTGACGCTGCATAACGGAGGACGCGTACTGCGGTGTGTTGGCAGTTGTAAGAAAGGCAGTATCATCCGCGTACGTGGCAACCAAGAGGCTCTGATCCGGGGTGACAGGCATGTCGGCTGTGTACACCGTGTATAACAGAGGTCCCAGAACGCTGCCTTGTGGGACTCCGGCTCTGATGTTCTTTATAGATGAAATAGCATCACCGCACTTAGTGTAAAACTGTCTGCAGGAGATGTAGCATTTAAGAAAATTGAAGTATGATGCTGGTAAGATTGCCTTAAGTTTATGCAGCAGACCGGGGTGCCATACCCTATCAAAGGCTTGCTTCACGTCGAGCATGACCGCACAGCAGTACTTCTTTTCTTCGAACGCCTGCATTATTCGCTCTACTAACCTATGGCACTGTTCCGGTGTTCCGTGGAGTCGCCTGAAGCCGAACTGATGGTCTGGGATCGAACCAGCCTCATTCAATACTGGCAGCACTCTACGTAAAAAGACTCTTTCGAGCAATTTAGAGAGAGTAGCCAGTAAGCTTATGGGACGATAAGAGGAGAGATCGGTCTCAGGTTTACCAGGCTTTGGTATTAAAATTACCTCAGCTCGTTTCCACTGGGACGGGAAATGTCCAATCTCAAAGCAACGGTTAATAACGTTGGTCAGCAACTGGATACAATTTTTAGGAAGCATTTTAATCGCCTTAGCGTCGATGCCATCGTGTCCAGGCGTTTTTTTTGGATTGAGTAGAGCAATCTCATTCTCAATCTCGTCCAGGGATGCTGATGCGATCCGTGCGTCACCCACACTTGGTAGCTCCAAGAAACGGATAGTATCCGCTTTGTCTGCCAATGTGCAGCGATCAAACGGCATGAATGAGTCATGAAGGTGCTCTGCAAAGGCATCTGCTCTTTCTTGGTCTGATCGGCACCAGTCCCCGTTTGCTTTTCGGACCACAGCTGCCCTTCTAATAGGTCGTTTAATATGGCGTGTGACCTGCCATAAGCTATTTGATGGGTCTCCTGGTTCGAGATCCTCTAGGAACCTATCAAAAGCGCTCTTCCTCAAGTCTTGTAGAAGCTCCTTTAGGCGTTTTGTGGCTCTGTTCAGGAGGTTTTTATCCCATGGGCTGCGGGTAGAGAACCAACTACGCCTGAGTCGCCTCTTTTTCGCAACGAGAGCGGCCACCTCAGGAGTCCAAAGATAAAGGTCTCTTACTGGCGTTCCAGGGTTGAAGCTGTTTCTCGGGGTGGCTATCTCTGCAGCATTGTGAATTTCTTGAGTTAGGCCTGCTACCACACTGTCAATGTCGTCGGCAGAGGAAAGTGTGGGGTTAGGGTTGACCCTGGTTAGCAGCCGTGTTTTGTATCTGTCTATGTCCATGTTGTTTTTAATCAGCCTTTTACGCGGCGCTTTTTTCTCGACCGGGGTATTGATATGTAGTGTAACAGCGGTGTGGTCGGAGAATAAGATCTCGTTGACACTGCATTCTATTTTATTGGAAGCTATACCTTTGGATATAGCAATGTCCAGTATGTCAGGGATCTTGCGCAGATCCGTGGGCCAGTATGTGGGTTCACCAGGTGAGTGGCAGCTAAGTCCTTTTTTCTGAATGCATCGGTAAAGTGCTTGTCCTTTGGGGTTGTTGGTTCGCGAGCCCCACCAGGAGTGTTTGGCATTGAAATCGCCTCCAATTATAAACCTGGGGCCAAGGCTTTCCAAAAGATGACTAAGCTGGACATCCCTAACATTGTACCTGGGTGGGAGATACGCAGCCGCGATTGTGAGGTCGCCGAGCGGGCTGGGCAGCCTAATCTGGGCACACTGCACCCAATCTTGTTGGTATGCTGGTAGTTCAATATATTTAATTCCTTTCTTGATGAGCACTGCAGCTCCACCTCGGGCTCTACCGTTTGGGTGGTTGGTGTAAATAATATCAAAGCCATAGATGGAGAAGTACGATCTCTGGGAGAAGTGAGTTTCTGATATCAGGAGTATATCTGTGTTGGTGGTCTTCACAAAGTGTTCGACCTCTGGTCTGCTATTGCACAGACCGTTCGCATTCCAGATGGTGAGATTCAGCCTTACTTGCATAGCTTACCAACAAAAGTGGCTAGCATTAGCGACATCTGGCTAAATATCTTCTCCATCATTTTTTCCATCATCAACTCCAATCGGGATACCATGGTTTCCATAGCTCCTGTTGCTGACTGCTCAGATTGGCGGGCTTGGCTTTGTGAATTATAATTTCCTCCTCTAAGCGCGTCCGAGAAGCTGACTTGTGGGTCGATTTTAGCAGATGGTAATCCTGAAGTACGCCTGGCTGAGGCATTTGGGGGACGAGAAGCGTTTGGGAACGCCTGCGCCTTGGCCGTTTTATAAACGGCGCAGCCTTTATATGAGGCAGCATGATCGCCTCCACAGTGTACGCAGTACGCTGGTTCCTCTCTACTTTTAGTGCAATCAGCCGAGTTGTGTTTATCGCCGCACTTGACGCATCTATGTTCAAGACGGCAATATCTTTGGGTATGTCCAAACCCTTGACAGCGGAAGCATTGGGTCAAATCTTTGAATTTTAAAGGAGGCTTGATTGTTACCACCGAACTGCATAAACGTTTTATTTTGAATGCCTCATTGTTGTTGCTGGACGGCTCCAGGTTAACGAAAAAGACAGACGTTGGCAATTTCGTATTGCGGCTAATGGCGTTGTGGAGGTCTCTTACATTGTGACCTTGTTCTGCCATTGCTTCCTTAATCTCGACCTTGTCCGTCGAATGATGAAGTCCTTTAACAACTATACGATATGCTCGTTCATCTCGGGGTTGGAATGTATGGTATCTCATGTTGTGCTGATCGAGATGCGCTTTTAAGGCCGTGTAACTTATTTTGTCAGGCAACATGACCCGCACATTGCTGTCTCTTCCTGCCTTGTAAGAGAAAACTTTATCTTTGCCGACAAGCTGGGTAATCGATTCCAGGAGAGCCTTTATGTTGTTTACGTCAGGGATGAACAGTGGGGGGGGTCTAATTGTTCTGGGCTTAGGTTCAGGTTCCGGCTTGTTGATGTCATCAGCATCGTCCTCATCGCTACTATCACTGGATAGTATGGCGAACGAGTTGTTGGCCAGTTTGCGACATGCAGCCTCGCTGGTACTAGGGCCATCTTGGGGGTGCTTACAATAACACATGCGTTAATATTTTTAAGTCTTTGAACGTTTGAGCACTTTTTTATATTTAAACTTAAAAATAAGATTTTAAAAGACACACGTTTTTATTGTGGAAATAATGGCGATGGTTACACTTACCGAAAGTACAAGTGTTTTCCGTAATAATCTTCTCATTGTGTAAATTACCCGTGAAGTGGTTTAAATTAAAGTTCATTAGCGTGACATTATGCGGATTGGTATAGTTTCTTTTCTGGGTTAGAGTGATAGATTTGTTTTGATGAAACGACCGATAATATGGTTTGAGTCTTTGACAATCCCTCAACAAACGTTTATAGCTTATATTTGGCTCCATTTGCTAATTCAAAAGCATAACGACCCTGCTTTATCGTCCGCGCGCACAGCTGATGGCGCAATTTATCGAATTGTCTGAGGGGGGTGCGGGCGTCATACGCACTGATTTGTTGACAAGTGAAAACGGCGCACAAATTGCTTAAATTGGTGACAACAATACCGCAGCATGTCGAAACCAATTACCTTTGTTACGGGCAATGCCAAAAAGCTGGAGGAACTGATCGCCATACTTGGTCCCAATTTTCCCCGTACGGTCATCTCGAAGAAAGTGGATCTGCCTGAGCTGCAGGGCGAGATTGAAGATATTGCGTTAAAAAAATGCAAGGAAGCGGCGCGTCAAGTAAACGGACCGGTGCTCATAGAGGACACTAGCCTATGCTTCAATGCGCTGGAGGGTCTGCCGGGTCCGTATATTAAGTGGTTTCTGGACAAACTGCATCCAGAGGGTCTGTATCGACTGCTGAGTGGCTGGGAAGATAAATCTGCGCGTGCCGTCTGTACTTTTGCCTATTGTGAAAACAGCGTGGCTGAGCCAAAGCTCTTTCAAGGCATAACCGAGGGCGTCATTGTGGAGCCACGTGGTCCGCGCGACTTTGGCTGGTGCGTGTAACAGTGCCATACTAGAGAACTTCTACAAGTAATATGGTGATTTTCTATGCTTACAGGGATCCAGTGTTTCAGCCCAAAGGGTACGAACAAACCTATGCGGAACTGCCAAAGTCTGAAAAGAACAAAATATCGCATCGCTTTAGAGCCTTGGATCTAGTCCAGAAGCATTTTGAAAATGAGAAAAGCTAATCTGCGAAACACTGTTGTCGGTTGTTAAAGAAGAAAACTACGTACATAACGTTCTAATTAAATTTGCTAATACATTTATTTAGTTTTAATATTTGTTCAATCATGTCGAGAAAGTGTTACACCCTAACGCTAAGCAATCACATCTCAGTCATCCTTCTTACTCTTGGGTTTCTTGACCTTTGCAGCCTCCTTTTTGGCGGCACCAGGCACCGGCTTGTCCCAATAATACAGTAATTGCGCGAGAATCACGCCATTGGCAAAAGTAGACGCGCAGAATGTGATGATAATCATCTGATCGCCAGTCTCTTGTATAGATGTAAATATGCGTGCCAGAGATCCGGCGAACATCATTATGACCGTGGCTGCTGACAATTGGCCCGTAGAGCCGGCCTTGTAGTTTGTCAGCGCCTGCGAGAGCTTGCCAACAAGTAGAATGGGAATGTTGCAGCTTTGTATGGTGAGCAGCACCTTCATGGTTGTCAAGCCCGAATTAAGGACATACAGTAGAGCAGCATAGGCAATCAGGAATAAGAACGATTGCAGCTTTCGCCCACCAAAGAACAACACTAGCGCAGCAATGGCCACCGTCTGCAGGGCCAGAAAAGTGTTGTCGCCCCAGGAACTGAATGGATATCCGTTCATAAAGTTGTACGACATATGGAATGTAATGGCCAGCAGATCCAGCATAACGCCCAATAGATTAATACCATCGCCAGATTTGCTATTGAGGATTTTAAGAACCTGTGGCACTTTCACCAGCACCGAGCCGGCGATGATGGCGATACCAAGACCCTTGCTCAGCAGCGCCTTGAAGCACGGGACTGCAAGTAAAATGATAACCATTTGTGACTAGCAGGGCAGTATAACTTACCATCGAGGAAATTGTAATCCAGGAAGTAGTTGTCGTAACACTTCTGGTTCATTAGAAGCAGAGCACCTTTCTTGATAACATCGACCATTTTTGGAAATTTTTAACTTTCTATGTGCTTGACCGACAAGAGTGTCTAATTGGGCCGGCTCTTATCAGGCGGCTACTAGCTTTTGATTGTGCGCTTGAGAATAGATAAAATGAAATTGAAAGCTAAGCAGTACACGTAATACCAACGGCACACCGAGAGCACCAGTTTATTTGGTGTTTTCATTTATTTTTTAGTTGGTATTTTTTTAACAGCCCCCTAACAGCGGCAAGAAGTTATACATTTGCTTAACAGTTATTTGATAGAATTTGAAATTAGCAGCTGCTGACTTTTTCCATAACATTGACTTTAACAGAAAAATAACAGATTCCTAACATTAGGCGTCTTTCGATGGTTGAGCGCAATGAGTGATGAGCGATATTTAATGAAAGTTGAATTCTTACAAGATATGCTTTTAATTATCATTACCACTCCCTTAATGAAATCTGCTCAATTGCTTAAACGCTTTCGTAATTTACTGCATTAACTTATTTATTTTCCGTTATCGATATAAATGATTTCCCAGCACAAGTATCGCTACAATGAGTTATCGGCATTATCAACAACCTATGCCATTTGATTCGTTATAGTTCGCGGTAAGCGTACGCTTAATTTTAAAAATATTTATAGAAAAAAATTAAAAATTATTATTTATTAAAATGAACACACATTAATTAATAAATTAAAGTCGCAAATTATTAAAGACAGAACAATTAATTGATTTTAATTAAATGACCAAAAGTCAACGATAAGACGATGAAAATACTTCAATCTTAATCAATTGATTTTCTTATCGCAATTATATTATTTACTGATTATTAAAGGGTAATTTTATTATTTCGCAAGGTTAGGTCCGGCAAGAACATGGCAATTAATAGCAGAGATCCACACCGGCCCTACCAAGGGACATTGTCACTTGCAGTTCTGATTGGCATGCTTGGTAACGTTTAAACTTTTTAAAAAGCATTTAATTGCACCATACTGCGCCTGCGCTCTATAGCTGTCAGATGTCATTATTTTCAGCTGCAGTAGCTTATCATAGTCCATCGTAAATTGCATTATCTTCATTAATATGGCACGCAGTTTCATTTTTACTGCAGTGGCATTCGTTCAAACTGCTCCAGAAAGCAGCGGCCTAATAAAAGTTATATTATAAACCGTCACTGGTAGGCACGCACACAATCACACATATACACACACACACACACACACACACATTTCCTCAAACTATACATGTACACATAGAGAAAATTGAACTCTATTTGTGTGTAAACAATTCATGTGACATTCTCTGTGAGCGTCGATTCCAAATTGCTTTGTCAAAGGTAAGAAACGTCTCTCGTTATACTTACACATATATTTCGCATTGTCACTCTGTTCAGTTGTTTTTATTGTAATATAAAATTGATTTAAATAGCACACTTTGTGGTTAAAATCAATGGAGCAGCTTTAAACAACAGCGTCTATTATTACGAGCTGGCAACACTGCAGTCGCCGCAGAATTTGCCCGGTGAAATTGTGCTGCAGGATCAGGAACAGAATGCGACAGTAGAAATGGTCCGTTTTGACAAGGGAAAACTCATTGCCAAGGCGGCTAACCTAACCGCCATTAGCTGGGCGCATGCCGTCAACAGTCAGCAGCTATTGGCCGATGCGCTTAGTGGTGAGCATTCCCGATAACAATAAGCCAGACCTGTTAACCTTCACTTAAATTAACCAATGTTCCACCTTAAAGGTGAAATTGATATGATTGAGGCAGATATCGTGCTCGGCCAGCTGAATGGCGAGGGACCAGATTTGCCGGTGATGGCGCATCCGCCTATAAACATATCGGATTTGACGTTGGAGGACTTTTTGCTTCAAATTAAGGCGCACAACGAGCTTCACGAGGGTGCCGAAAAGGGCGTAAAGCTGGACTTTAAATCTATCGAAGTATTTGAGGGTTCGTTGGGCATTCTGGATGAGATCATACCAAAGGTGAGCATGGCCTTACAATATAAAAGGTATCCAATTCACTATAATGCGTATACATAGATGGCCTATCCCATTTGGATAAACGCAGACATTATCAGTGGACCTTTGGAGCAAAACAATTCAGTGCCAGTGGATCCGGCACGCTTCTTTGCCGGATGCATGCGCTACAAACAGGCCGTACTCTCCATTGGCTGGACTACCAGATGGGGCGCAAATTACCGAGAGGGCGAGTACACTCAGGAGCAGTGCAATGCAATGCTGCAGGCCATCAATGACAACAATGTGACCTCTACCGGGCAGGCCATTACTTTTCCAGTGCGTGCCGGCATTGCCGCGAACAGCGCCTCACAACTGCACAATCTGGTGTCCGCTGTGAATGAAACTAGTGAGAGCACTTTGACCATTTGGTCCTCAGCCGACGACTACGTAGATGTGGCGCAGCTGCGCAAGCTAATCTTCAGTTTTGGCTTGGATCGTGTCTATTTGGATGTGCCAGAGGAGCTGTCTTCGAAGCTAGATTTGGGAAACACAGGCAGTGGCGCTGGCACCTTCAATTCGTTGGTTAGCTTCAGCTTCGTCAGCCTGTGCTTCTGGGCCTTTTCGAGCTGGCTTCAGAGCGTATAAACGAACTGTTGCGGTTTTTGTTTACTCTTTTCTTTTTTATTTCAGTTTTATTTTCTTTGTTTTTATGTTACGCGTGTATTCACTGGAAAATGCTCTTTGCGTTTAAGCTTTGTATCACTTCATTTGAATGCGAACGCGAATTGGAGCCGCGTTGTATAAAAGCTAACTAAAAAAATATGCATTAAATTTATATATGAATATAAATATATAATATAAAAATACTTTGGACGTGCGCAGTTTAAATTTATACAAGGGGATTGATAGCTTTGGAGCTAGGATAATCACTTATATACAGTTAAGTTAAGCTACTAAAATAGTCAATGACTTTTGTTTAGGTTATCTTTCACTTTTTGGCACTAATTAATAAATAATCTTATCAATCTCTCTCTATACTTCTGCAGCATGCGTATGAATGTTGGTGCTGTTTTGTGTGAGGAAACTATATGAGCACGATGGATGTTTGTACGAATGGATATGTGTGTATGTGGAGGGATAGTACGTATTTAATGATATAAATGAGGCAACTCGGCAAAAGTCAACATCAATTAACTAACATCTGTTGAGTTTTAATGGCGAGACGTGGCGCGGAGTATGTCTTTGGCTCCCCTAAGGCAATATATTGAAAATGCAAGATGCAACGATATATGTATATTAACTAATTATCACATCTGTTGAGCGGCTCTCGATTAGGCGATCTCTAGACGTGTTGCCGCCGCTGCTCTCGTCATCGCCATCTTCAATGCCCGAGCTGCGCCTGTAATCTAACAGACGCACGCCCACACGATCGTTTTGGTTGGCATTCTGGCGGAAAAGCTGCTGAACAGCTGGTGTTGTGCTAGCCGCACTGACGCCGGCGCCAAACGTGGTGAGCGGACGTAGCATCGACACCTTGGCTTTGGGGTCGTCGGTATGGCAGAGACGCGTCAACTGGCGCGTTGGATACCAGCAGGTACAAATAAGGCCGCCGGCAAGCAGTATGCCCGTAAATATCTGACCAAGCATTACAATGAGTGGAACCAGACCAATGCTTGCAGCGATTTCCTCGCTGACACGAACACGCTCCTCGGCCCACATAAGTGGTAGCATAATGCGTGGCACGCGCGCATAGAGACTAAAATGGTAAATGGAATAAGCTGGTTAGCGTCTGTCTTGCCATTAAGTGAATGATAAACTTACGCAACGCCCGGCACCGGCTCCATCAGATAATTGGCCTGGAAGCCACCACCCACATCCATGGGTACGCCAGCGTTGGGCTCCAGTGCCATGAAGAACTCATGCTTCTCCTTTTCCGGCTGCAGGCCATCCAAAGCGTCCAGATAACTAGGGTCGGCCAGATAAAAATGTGGATAAGACATGTAGATGGATGTGTTGAAGTTACAGCGTCCAACATAAATAACACCAGACGGATTGCATTTGCCATCCACGCACAGGCAACTGGTGTCCGGATACATAGTGCCATTGTCCACAGCGTGTCTGGTGCCACTGAATTTGTATGCAGTGACACCATGGACGCTGATTGTTTCCGTAAAGTCCAGTGGCACGGCGCGGCACATTTTGGGCATATATAAATAGACACTGTCATTGGTGCTCAAATTGGGCGGAAAAAATTCACCCATTGAGCCCATAACCTTGCCACAGGCACCATCAAACGCGCCTGTATGCGTCTTATTATTCCACGAATAGATTTGGCCCATTTTACTAATGTCATCGGCCCCAGTGAACATGTTGATGTCACCATCAAAGCTGGTGCTTCCATTGCGCTCATACTGATAACCAATCCGATCGTAGGGAACGTCATCCGGACTAATTATTTTGCCCAGCGTCACTAACGAATTCACGAAACCCTTGAATAACCACTCCTCGGCGGTGCGCGTCTCACTGACCTTCTGCGTGGAGCTCAGTGTTGTCGATGCCATAAATTGAAAAAACGAGTTCAATTGGTGTAAACGTCGAGCACCAGCCTGTTGGAAAGAATATCATTAGTGAAACTCTAAATTTTAACATCTTAATACTTCAACTTACGTGCGCGACTGTATTGACCGAGGTTACCACATCCTGCAGAGTGCCATTGCTACCGGCAGCATCAAAAAAGAAATAGGCTTTCTTGCGAAAGGACACTGAAGCATTGTGATTGTGCCACTCGATGTCCACCTTATCAGGTTTCTCCCGAAACCGATAAGGTCCCAGTTGTACAAAGTGCGGTTTCTTCGGGGAGCCCTGGTATAAGTCCTCCGGATTAGTCCAGTTGAATAGATAAACATCAAAGTTAAGCGGCAGCGGCGATACTTTCCAGCCCTCATACGCTGGCGACGTGGGGCTGAGTGCCATTTCCTGAAATTGTCATTGATCATATGAAAAGGCGATCAATTATGGTAAATTATAGATGATTGCTTAAATGGAAGGCTCAGTAAACTTAAATGTTTCAATTATATAAAAAATGTAAATAGCTCTCTTACAACATTTTACTTATGTATATGATAAGAAAATAATGGAAAATTTTACAAACTTGAATGGACGAATGAACGTGCTAATTCGTGTACAATTTACAATGAATATGATTTGTTATTAACAAAACTGTATAAACAAAGCATGTAAAGTGATTAATGATCAGAACAACCATTTAGAGTAAGTATCGATCAATCTGTAAATTAGTCGGCGAGGTCAAGATTGCAGAGATATTGGCCCATTTATGTGCCTGTTTGACATTTAGATGTATAAAGTAAGGTCGACTGATAACCCCATAAACCTTTTTTGCGTAGAGCCAACCACTGACTAGAAAATGCTCTATTTCAAAAGTTTGCTGTTTTCGAACAATATGAATTATATTGGTACTTACAATCGGATCAACCTCTCGCAACTTTGTTGGCTATCTATACAATTTCCCGATCGTTTAGTCAAATGTCATGTGAGTGTCACGTTATCAGCCATTCCCGGCGGCCCATCAATAATCCATCACGGCATGTAATCATCGTTTGGTAAGATTCTAGGACTATAGCACTTGGAATAAATCCGAAGCGGCCATTTTGCAATTTAAGTTTGTGGCTATTATCTAGAACTACATTTTCTTTCTTCTTGTTATGTATTCAATATTTTCGAGTTCAGGAAATGACTAACTGATAAAAAGCGATTGGTGTTTTATGTGTGTGCGCGACAGTGTGATAATGGCACGTTTAAATATGCGCTAGTTTAAATGGTCGCATCGTTGGATTGCTGGGTTTCACTGATATAGAAGTCGGTTAAACAGGTGTTTGGTCAAGGGCTGATTTTATTTGTAACACGTAAAGCCTTTTATGAATGTAGTGTGCAGGGAATGCACAAAAAACTAACACACACACACACCTATACAAAAAAAATAAAAACAGAAAACAGCAAAAAACAAGCGATTCAGGCCTCGTTTCTAATCGCCCAATGGCAGTTAGCTCTATTGATAAATGGTTGCTGATAAGATAAAAGTCGTTGTTACGGGAAAAACTGAAATTGTTTGTTTATTCAGAGTATCGCACGTAAATATTTCCGCTGGGAACATAATTGCAAAATAGATCAGAGACCCGATTAACCTTGCAGCTGTTCCAGTGATTCATGTCACAATGAACGATTCTGATATATCAATCGATATGGGACGAAATACCAGCTACCAGCTGCTCGAGACTTTCAACTAAGTCGCTTAGTCACTTGCCAAATTATAGAACGCAGTGTAATGTGACCATAAAAAACTATCTTATCTATTTTTTTGTGAACACCTGCACACTTTCAATTCTTGGTGTCTTTGTGGAAATTGATTCCAATTGATTTGGAATCAGACAACTGGTAAACCCCCCAATACCCTGCGCCAACACCACACTAATTGTATGCTAATGAGCGAGGTTCACGCGCAGTTGACCTCTCATCGTTTTGGCAAATTGGCTGAAATGGAAGAACATGATTCTCTTATGTCTAGAGATGGAATTTGAGTCAACGAGCAATGACTGATGTAACTAGACAGTAACTGTTTGATTATATAAGACCTGATAGCAATGAGGCAAGAATCATACAACTTACCTTGCCGCGCATGCGCGTAAATATGTCAATCCAGTTGCGCAGCAGATAAACGCCGCCGGCTATGCAGCAAGCGCCCAAGATGACAATGCCCAGCCGCCAGGCCCAGTGACGCGAACGTGATGTCATCTCTAGCTGTTGTTGTTGCTGTTGCGATTTTCGATGACGATTACTGCCAACGTCTCTGGCCTTGCCTGTATTAGAGGCCTTTTCTGTTACTCTTGTTGCGGTTGTAGTTGTGCAGGAAGCTCTGCTCGCTCGTTGTGCGCCTGTTCTCTTGCTCTTGCTGCGCTGCACTGACGCTAAGCGTTTGTATATTCTCGTCGCCGCAGTCGTTGACGCTGCCTGCACACACACGCATAGAGATAAGCCAAAAAAAAAGAGAGTGTTAAAGTCCAGTACATACATACATATGTACATGTATATGTGCTTGGGCGAGCTACGGCTTATCGTTATTGCTATTAAAGGCGTCAAAGGCTCGTCTAGTAACTTTAAGAGCGTTAAAAGAGCGGCACATTAGAGAGGCCGTGTTAATATTAAAACGGATCACGAAACGAAGCACAGCGATGCGAAGCTATATTGCGTCGCAATTGCAAATATTACAATGTGTTTTACTTTGTGGTATGTTGCCCTTAATACTTAACAATAAAAATAAGAGAATTCGAACAGCTCACCAGTAATACGCTTATAGAAAGTTTCAATGCTATTGCTTTTCATTGTTTCAGGCAGGTCAGGCTCTAAACCAGTTGGATTTTTTTTTATAGGAGTGGGAGTCAAAAGTTGCTATTTTTACTATACTGCCGTTAAGGCCTGTTAATGGTGGAGCAATAATATTTAAACATTCCTAGACATACATATGTATGTACATATGTGCGTTCGTTTGTTATTGATGCACACGTAGCAAGGTTAAATAAACATCGGGAAAAACCAGTTTTTCAATGCTCAGGTTGCTGCACTCCGTTAAATCCACGCGCTTTACAGAAACGCCCAACGTCGCCTCTTTTTTTTGTGCTCTGATTACTTTACGCGTTATTTAAACAGATTATGAATTTTTTTCTTAGCAAAGTGCGAATTCACTTGTGGCAACAGAAAAATAATCACGCGAATTTAACACTTAGTCATGAAAAGGGGTGAAAACTTTGTATCGAGCTGTTGCTGGGCAAGGCAGTTAAATTGAAAACAACGCCTATCTTTAGCATAATTAATGAATAATTTAAAAAAAAAAAGAATAGGTTATTATTACTTGCACAGGAATCCTTGAGTTGTCGTGCGCATCACTTCCGCAACCTGTTGACATGTTATGCGGTTTTGCTACGTTTATATGCTTTAGTTGTTGTTCTTGTTGCTATTATCCACCTATAAATAGACCAAACCACAGTGCAATGTGCCAAAATGAACATATGTATGTACTATGTTCCTTGGGTCCGTATCTGTATTTGTTGTTTGCTTAATCTGCAAACTCACTAACGATGCGTCACGTTTTGGTTTGCGAAACGCAACTTCAATCAAATGACATAAACAACAACAAACAGCCGTATATGTATGTATATTTGTTTAATGTTTTAAAAGCGATATTAACAGGAACGATTGTTGAGCCAGCGCTGTGCAATAAACGCTCTTGCGCCCGCGCCTTGTACTCTCTGCCGAGCACGCTCTCACACATACACTCTCACACACTAACTGGCTCTCAGCAACAACAAATTAGAATATGCGTAGGGTTTTTTTCTTACGTTTTAGCTCTTAGGCGGTTGTTTTATTTTCTTCGTCTGCGACTTTGCTTAACACTTTTTGCACTTGTCACTTCTACTGCTTCTTCTTATGCTTCGAAACGCATGCCATTTTTCAATCGCATGCTTTGTTTTCGTTTTCAAATACTTTTCAATTGGTATCAATTTTAATTACACGAATATAAATATTCATTGCGACAGTATCATTCGAAACGTTTCTTTAAATGCGCTTTCTGATTTTACTGCATTTGTGTTTGTATTGCGGCGTCTATTTCTTGCATACTTTTGTCTCACTCGCACGCGTTAGTTTTAATCAGTAGACAACGACGCACCGTTAACTTGATCTTGAACTCGGCCAAATAGCCACACGACTTTAGATCTTCGTGTCTGAGCGGCACTGCGCCTGTTCTGCGACTGAAACTATTTTTTGTTTTCAGAGTGCCACCAAGCAGCAATTATACATTTTTCATTAAAAGCAAGCAGGAACGCATTTATAATCAGCTGGTCGACCTTATAATACCCTACAAATATGGATATTTTCTTATAACTATAACTAGAACAGTGAGTGCTATTCACAATATTATTGTGCACGGTTATGTGATTATACGGTAATAAGCACTTTAGTATTATATGATCTCCTATCATTTCTTTACCACTGCGCTTGGTTCTAATCTCTTACTTCCTCTTCGGACCCGACAAGCTTACCAATACATGACTACGAAAGTCGCAAGTTGATAGGTAATTGTTGTACATGAACGCATGTTCTACAAAATATAACATTCCACAGATCTAATAGGTGGCAGGGTATGCAGAGCAGCAAATGAGCGTGCCAGCAGCAACAGAGAGTACGCATTGTTCAAGAGCTCCCGCTTCTCACTTATCTCTTTCCATCTCTATCGCTCTCTGGCTGTACTTGTTGACCATCCATGAAAAAACCGGTTCCATCTCTTTGAAACGGTTATACTACTGTACATAGGCTCAATGTAGATTTTAAACGGTCACAATTCGATTTTATTTAATACTATTAACGAATTATTTATCTCGCCGCTTTCATTGAACAGCATATAATTAAACATTGGAATGTAAACATTTATCATACCACACACTCTATTATGTATGTATCTACATATATAAGTACAGTATTGTATTTGAAATGCTTATCAATAAATGAAAAGCAAGTTTTATTTTAGGTTTGTTGATTAATGGGTTCAGTTAAGATTTCTATAACAACAAGTTTTACTTGTGTGACACTAATTGAGATCCATAATTAACTTACGATTTTTGTCGGACATTCTTCGCATCTCCGACCACATCAATATCTCTTTATATAGGAACGTTTATCCTTACTGAGTGACTAGTTGATGATCAACGCACAGCCCAAGCCGTAAGAGCTAAGAAGCCCAAATTTTACTGTAGTTACCTTATGTGATGAAGGTGCACTCTACGACAGGTTTTGAGGGCAGGAAATTTGTAGACAAGTGACATCTAAAATGGGTATTCCTGATTGGAACAATAAATTTACTGATACATATATATATTTTGTTAGACCTTCTTGAATGAAGATGGTATGAAGCAATATTTGATATTCCTTTTTATTAGCTTCATTTTTAAAACACCGCGAAATATTCGACGATGTATTACACGCTTATTACTTAGGCTTAAGCATAATAAACCCTAGAAATGTATCCTTATCACATAAAATTCATAACATTCAAATCAGATGCTTTCAGCTTGCACAAGCCCCATCACCTGCCGGCTCTACATACTGTAATCCCACGAGTAGGGGGGACCCCTCGGCTGTATGGGTCTTAACCTCCATACTCGCTGCTTGGATGCGAGTTTCCAGGTTATTGATATCAATCTTTCGCATGTACCGCTTATGCAGAAGGATCTGTCGCGGATACCAAAGCATCAGCCCGAGGCCTAATGCTATGGCTATAAAACCGCAGACTTTTCCCACGAGTGCAGAGATCGGTAACAGTTTCAGATAGAATAGCAGATCGGACGAAATTCGCAACCTATAGTCAACCCAACAGAGGGGAAAGAAAGTGCGGCGTGACTTGCGGAAGATGCTAGAAGGCGGGAAGTCTTTTGGTTATCATTCGCTGTAGGAATTATCAGCTCTACTTACGATTCTCTACGCGGTTCTACCAGGAGACTGATCATTAGCCGCGCCTTGATGTCCAGCAGTATGCCAGTGGTGGGCTCTAGCATAACGCTCATCTCATGGCGATCCTTGTCAGGCTTCATGCCTTCCACTGCTTCAACATAATAGGGATCGGCATTATAGAAATGTGGCAAAGAGGCGAAAACGGGCACATCGTACCAACAGGAGGATACATTCATCAGACCAGAGCGCACCTCCCTGCAGCTACCCGTACAGTAGCAGCTGTTCTCCGGATTATCAGTGCCTACAAATTGGATGGAGATTCCATGAAAGTCTTGCCTTATATTAAATCCTACATAAATGGCACTTACCATTTGCTAAATTTCTTGCTGTGCCCTTGTAGATGTAAACCTCGATACCCTTAAAGAGCGTTGCGCCCGCATAGTCCAATTGCATCTCACGACAAAGATCGGGTATAAAGTATGAAATTGGCTCGCCCTGGCGCAGCGGAGTGGGATGAAATTCGCCAGTACTACCCCTCAACTTGCAACTGGGATAGCCAGCTGAAACATTGTCGTATCGCCAGCGAGCTATTTGACCCAATTTACTAAAGTCCTGCTGGCCAGTATGGACATTATGATGCCCATAGATCTGGGTGCTGCCGTTGCGCTTGGAGAAATAAAACAAAAGTAAATAATGGAGGAGCAGGTTATTACGTTTCGAAGAGTGTCCTACCGGATAACCGTAGCCTATGCGTTCGTAAGGGAAATACAAGTCCGGCATCATGTTATTGGGTATCATTTTGCTCATCTTTATTAACGGAGTATCGAAGCCATTGAAGAGCCAGTCATCGGCAGACCTCACGAATGTTGCCTCGTTACCATTCATATTCAGCGCCATCAGCATCAGCGTGCGCAGCATCGGGTTCCAGTTCTGGACTTTGTTGACGATACCAACACTCAGCATATTGGGGGCTACAATGGAGTCCGTAAGATTGCCCGCGCTAGCTGCTTCATCGAAGTAGAAGTGGCTACGGCGCAGATAGGAGACAGTGGAATTCTCCGGGTGCCAGACCACATTCAGCTTTTCCTGTTTCTCAGTGAAGGAGTAGGGCCCCAATTCTTCAAAGCGCGGCTTGACATTCGGATTGCTAAACTGTTCCGCATTCGTCCAGTTGAAGATGTAAACACTGGCGGTTATGTCTAAGCTTGGCTTTTGCCAGAGACTGCTCAGCATCGAGTTGGGCTTGAGCACCATGAACTGCAGAATATGTGGATTGCTTGAGGCATAGTCCGTGGATTCTATTAGTCTCTGGCTAGTAACTTACCCACTCCAAGGCGCGACGTTGTATGCGCTCTAAATTAAGAACAGATATTAGACCCAAAGAGGCGAGCAGTAGACCCACCAGACTGGTAAGTGCAATTCGATTTTTCCCGATCATATCATTCAGAGCACGGAGGTTGAGACTGCAGTAAGTCTAGAATTTACTAGCGGGCTCCGTATTGAATTCGTTCAGTTATAAAACGTAAATGTTAACTGGTTCTGCAATCGATACATAAAGGCAAGTAAATAATATTGTGAACAATTTCTTAGTTGCTAATGTTAAATCGAAAGCAATTATCAATCGCATTTAATGCTCTAAGTTATGCAAGTTGCCGGCATAAATCATTTTCAGTTTATTCGATTTTATTGAGATATTCATTATGACTGCAACAAATTCTCGCCCAAGCCTCTTTAATTGCTCCCCTTTTTTTTATGACCAGAGTGGTTATAATAGTTCTCTGCCTACAATGTACGTAACAAACATGCTTCTATGACACGCTTAGGCGCTATCACCACGCCCCTCTGTCCGGCTGTGCGTCAGTATGAACCCGCCGACTTGGCAAACTACAAACGCTAATGACAGTAGCAGAGTTTCAAAGGTTAAGAATATATCACAATTTGGTTTCCTTTCCTCAATAATTTCAGATAATCCCGTACTGCGCTGGCACTAGAAAAACGGCTCTTATAACTTAGTTAAGTTTCCTGTCATGGTGGACCAGCTCTAATCGTCTGTTGCAACGCTTACTAACCTCTCAGCATTACCTGGGTACTTGTGAAAAATACTGCCTGATAACCTTATCAGGATTATTTGATAAGAATCTTTGGTAATCGAAATATGAAAATTTTATGAATTTCCATAACTAAAAATATGTAAATATATTGAGTTTTGATAAACCAATTTGAACTATTGGAGATTTTAAAAAATTAGACGAAGTTTCGAGAGCCTGAGTTAATTGATGTAGAAAACCAGGCTAGCGAATCGACCGGAAACTAGAATTGGTTCTTACCATGAGATTTATCATATCTTTATTAAACACAGCAATTACAAGCCTCACTACGAACATAAACCTTAGTTCCTTAATGTATAATCGGTCGGAAATTAAACTTTCCGAAAGGAAATATCACGTTGCCTTTATATGGTTTGCTTAATTATAACACAACAAACAGGCTCGATATTAAAAGCTTAAAAGGTTCATTAAATGGATTTGATGGGATCGTATTAAGCATTTCTGTCTTATTCGAACACAAGCTTTCTTCAACGATTTTTCATATTAAAGGGTATATGGCGACTTACCCCGCTAATTTTCTATTGAAGAAATTTTGGATGGTTCGTCACGAAAAATGAATCACGTTTTTTTTTTGACACAACCGCAAGGTGTTCCCAATTGTCTTTAATTGACTGTCTGTCTGGCGGAGACTAATCTCAAAGGTCCATAAGGGTTATCGTTGTACAGCTTTGATAGCACACTGTTCTCACTGATAAGGCCAAAATACCATTGACTTCGAGTCTTTCATTATTTTTTGTTGTATTTTATTTCGAATCGTACAAGAGCACTGGATCACCAGATTTTCCGGATCTCGATGTGCGTTCAATACAAGCACGATGCGCTTTAAACGCCGACTTGATAACGACTGACGACTTAAAGGAGCATGTTCCTATATTAGTACTTAGCAAACAGAAAAATTAAAAGAAAACTCAGAATGATTATGCAGCGTGGCGAAGTAAGCGCAGGCAGAGTACAAGTCGAGACTCGAATTGATACTGTCACCTAAGAAACTTAATTGATGCACTGCACAAAATAATGTTTGCATACTTTCGGCGGAATCATTAAGGAAACTATTCGAACCGATCGCATCGATTGGTCTACATCTACGGCCAGACAATTTAATCAGTTTAACTTGTGAGTTAGCACTTTTGCTTTCTCTCCATATCTGGAGGATCGGTCAATGGCTTCGGAGTTTGGTGCTCAGCACAAAATTTGAACAGTGTACCGACCATTCAGCTTTAATTTTAATGTTTGTACTTAGTGGCATTTTATTGCAGTTGGCTTGGTTCAACAGCTCCATAATCGCGGCAAGGGTTATCTTTTAACGATTTAGTGGCCCAGAGCAGGCCAGAGACGACCCATTCCCCGAAATGGAAGCGGCACGCAACTGCCACCACCCGTCACTTGCTACTCGCCACCCGTCACTCGCACCACGCGCACCGCTCAGCTCAGCTCAGCTCAGCTCAGTTCAGTTCAGCTCCGTCGTTATCGCTTCAACTCTAACCTGGCCAGCAAACATATCGGCAACTGGGCAACCGAGCTGCAACAACTAAAATTAACAACTTTTTGTGTTTTCCAACTTTTCGTGGGTTCGCCCGTTGGGGCCCGTGCACTGATAACAGCCACGTTCCAATCACTTGAACGCAATGCCCGATGGCGTTGATCTGATAAAAAGCAGGAGGACAGCTATAACAACAAGCGCAACAACAACAACATCCAGCTACTGTATACACAAGTTCTATACTTAACTGCATGTCTGTATGTATTTTGGTTATATGATGCCTTAAACATAAGTATATTTTTTTATATGCGCAACATTGTTACAACTTTTATAGTAACTGTCAATATAAAGATTATATATTACATAAAGAAATATTGCTTTTTAAAAGGTGTTGCGCGTTTAAGTCGAATCTGTTTTTGAAAATTCCCCTAGCAATTGTCTATAACATTATTTCATTTACCGTCCGAACCAATTTACCTTTAAGCCCTTAGCAGCATTTGGGGATATATAAACGTTACAATATTCTGATCCTATCCACAAAACTTTTTTTTAATTCGATTCAATTTAGACCAATTATTAATATGAAAATTGTGACATATATAAATGTAGATATCTTTTAAATCCAAAAATATTGAAACTCTTTACAAGGCATTAAAATATTCGAAGCTTACCCACTTGTAATTTTAGCTGAAGCGAGAAAGAGTAATGTAATCATCACCAGATTAAAAAATCGTTTCCGTGTTTCATTCAATCTTAAGTAAATATAGTATATATTCGATTATAATACAGGGCATATGTAAAGTCAGGCACAGTTGGGGCACAGGTAACAGACAAATCATCTTACAAAGCTAAACTTGAGCACACTAGACATGTAATCAATGTTCGGTATCATCCGTTTGGTATCAATTCTCAGCGATCTTTCACTGATTAAATAGCGGGGATTCTACAAAGCGAATAAAATAATCAATACTATATATAAATAATTAAATAGTATATCCACGCTTACTTGCACACAGCTGGGATTAATGTCGCTCTGCCTGATCCACAATTCTAGCGGCTGTGTGCGCCAGCTTTGCTTGGACAGCACCGCCAGACAACGCCCGATGAATGCGTTGCCAATGCAACGGGATCTAGTCATATCCAAGATGCGCAGCTGGCGGCAGTTGATCACAAATTGCAGTAGACCTGCTGGACTCTCCAACTGATAGCCGCACAGGTGCAGCTCGCATAGCTCTGGCAGCTGAGCGGCCAGTGGGCACAGCATCTGATCGCTGAGGCACTGAAGCTGTCCTTCCTCCGACTGTCCATGCACCTCCAATCTGCGCAAATGGCGTAGATTGCTTAGCTCTCGAAAGAAGCGTTCATAGTCGTGAAGAAGTCCGCTAAAGCGAAAGCCTTCGATTTGCTTGATGCCGCCAGCTGCGGCATTGCTGGGTCGCGCTATGCGCGCCAGCACGTCGAAGACAAAATTCTTTGAGTATATGGAGAGCTTGTGCAGGAGTGGCAGGCGCAGCAACTGTTGTGTTATGTCCGATTCCATGCAGAGATGATAATCGGCAATCTTGATGTGCTCCAATGTGGGGCACAGCTGCACGTCAACCAAATCACAGCAGTTCACTTCATCGCAGTCCTCCATAATGTCAAACTTGCGCAGTTTAAGCTGCCGGAAGATGTCGCGAAAGTACTGTGACTCCAGATACTGACAGTCGTCCAGGCACAGCTCGTTGAGCAGCTCCAACTCGTGCAGATACTTGCCCGTCACCTGGCAGCCACGCAATTTTAGCTTGCGCAGCGAGGGAAACACACGCTTCAACAAACGCACATCCTCGTCCACGAATCGCACTTGGCCACGTCGCGGCTGATGGTCACCGCCCAGCCACTCCAGGCTACTTACACCCGGCAAAGAGTGCTCGTTTAGCATTCGCAATCTTCTCACATCCAGCTGATGGCAGCTGAGACGCTCCAGATGCGGCGCCAGTGCCAGCATAAATGCTTGAAAGTGACGCGAGGACGCACGACATACCAGCTCATCTTGCAGCACCACATTGTGTACGCGCGTGCGCCACAGTGACTGGACAATGCTCCTCAGGCGGCTGTGCAGCTGGGTTAGCTCAAACTGTTGGTACACATTTAATTGGGCCACTATCAAGGCCAGAACGTCATCATTTAGCTGCAGCAGAGATGTGGGCTTTGGCTCTGGGGAGTAAGACCGGTTCATACTGGAGTTCAAATCATAGCGATGCCTTCTCGAGTCGCCTCAACTTACCTGTTTCTTGTTTTGTGGTCATTTGTGGGCTGGGCTACAATTTCTAGTACTGTCGCTTAGCTGTTGGCAGGCGCAACGCATTTTAGACACTGCCAAACAAATACAGCCTGACCAGCTGTCCAGGGTCCATAATTTCAGAGACCTTGCTACCTAAACGTGCCTTCCTTAGGGGTGGTTTTCCAGACAGGCTGGCCCACCTACCTAGTTAGCTTGCCGTCTTCAATTAGAGATGCGACATTAGCAAGCCGATGACGGCGAATATCGTAGCTGTAACTTATTAGCCGATAGTCGGCCAGAATATGCAAGTATTTTTAGTATTTGAACTTACCGTATTATAATTTGTTCAACTGTAATTACACATTGCGAGCTTTTTGTACAATGCATTAAGCTAATCAAATTATATGTAACGTTACGAGTTTTCCTGCTCGTACAAGAATCAGATAATTCAAGCAATATATATGTAATATACATATATTATATATGCAGATAATTCATCAAGAAAATTTAAGGAACGTTACTTAACAGGTAAAAAAAATCTGAAATCTGTCGAGCTTAATAATAGAGCTTAAAGCCAAACACCTAACTTATCCCACCTGCAAATAAAATATAGCCCAAATTCATACGTATGGTTAAATAATGTGGCGAATCGTTTATCTATCGTACTTCCTAACTAGCATAATAATCTCAAAATTTGTTTTATATATAATTTTGAAGTCGTTACCCAAAGAAATTTGTTTAAAAATTGTTATAATATGCAGCATAAGCTTATTAGCGTAGCTGCTTAATTTTTATTTTCATTTTTTATTTATTTGTTTGGTGCTTACTACGTCATTAATTTGTATGTATTTAGTTAGATTTAACTTTTACAATATATTCTATGTTGTATGTATAATGTAATATTATTCATTCAATTTCATTTGTCGGTATAGGCATATATTGTAGGTATATATAGTGTATATATTGTATCTGCATTATAGTACATTATTGTTTCTAATTACTTAGTATTGTTATTGATTTATGCTTTAATTTCTCTTTTCTCTGTTTCTTCTGTTCTTTTCATTTCTTTGTTGTTGCTTCAATTGGCTGCGTTTTAGGAAACATTTTTCGACACTGCAGCTTATTGTTAATAATAATATTAATTATTGTGTAAATTATGTGTGTTAAGCTAGAATCGATTTATGCAATACGCAACTTACAAATTAATCTGTTTGTTTATTAAATATTGCAACACAATTTGAGTTTGTTGATGGTACATACTTTAAAATTGCCATTCGCATGCTACAAATACAGTTGATCAGTTAATATATTAGTTAATAATCGTATAATATATAATATATATACTCTATATGCATTTTATATACTGCGCTCTATTATAGACATCACCAATCTATTTTAAAAAACACCCAAAACTAACACGGCTAAAACAACTACATAAACATATTTGCTTGTGTGTGTGTCTCTCCACATTTATACGAAGTTTTCACAATGTTTTTTTTTTAGTTTTATTTTGACTCTGTATTTTCCCTTATAAAAATACATAAGACTAAAGCGATTCGTTATGCAATCCGAAATCTGTGAAAACTTCGCAAAAATGTTTTTTATATTGTTTGCTTAAATAATTTAATTCTTGCGCACATTTGTTTTTGTTTCGTTTTGTTTTTGTTTTTTTTTTACAATTTTAAATTGTTCCCTGCATTCTTAGTACATATTTATAAACTTCTGTCGCTGCCAATAAATGCCTTAAAAATAAAAAAAACGAAATGTATTTTTTATTTCTTTTTCCTTCTTTAATGAACAAATCAAAGTAAAACCAAAAAATACTTTATTGTTTTTTTTGTGTATGATGTTTTATTTGTGTACATGTACAGTTTTTCTGGTTAATTTAAATTATACGGTTTAATTAAAATATTAAATTAATAAAATGTTGCATTTAAAAGGAAGCATTATGTGTGTGAGAGTGTGTTTAAATATTAATAAACTTGACTCATCTAATATTATAATTTTTTTTTTCGTTTTTTCTTTCCTTTTTTGTTTGTGTAAAATTTAAAGCAGATATGTTGTTGCTTGTGGCGCTTGGGGCTTGCTTCTTCTATATATTGTTGCTGTTTTCAACATAAGCACAGTAATTGTTATATTTAATTGTAGAGTTGTGCCTAGCTTTATTATTATTATGTTTGTTGTTAACTTTAATAGTGTGTAGTGGAGTGGGAGGTTATAACTTCATGTTTTAGTTTTCTTGTCATATCATAATCGTAATTATAATTATAGCGCGTGCGCTACTCTACACACACATTTCGTAGATGTAACTAAAAACTAATTCACTTTCGCTCTTTTGTCTCATTATAATCAATCTTAATTCTTCTTAGTAGTTCAACTAACATTAAATATAATAATATATAATTTTCTTCTTGCGTTTCTCATCTCTCGTTAGTTCTTGACTTAGCCTACGATTATTCCTCTTCAACTCTCTTGTTAGCTAACTGCTCTAATACGCCTTGCCCTATATAACAAAGTTTTCCATCCATAGGCAACAATTTGTCGGACTTAAACGTTAACGGGGCTGAAGGTTACGAGGGTGGTTTGATATATATTAACTGGGCGCTGCTATTAGCATAATATTTGTGTAGTTTATATGTAAATGTTTGCATAACTGTTTAAGCTGTTTCGTTACATACTTTGTCTTACAAAATGCACAAAATAATACAAAATTTTTCCGACGATTTCTTAAAGTTTTGCTGCAGTTTATATACAAAGTATGTATAATTGATATATATAAATATATATTTATGATAGTTGTATGGTATGAGGATGCCTTGTAAGTATAAATGAATGTCTCTCTCTCTCACTTCCTATGCATAACTTAATGAAACATAATGTTAAAAATACAGGCGCCAAACTAAAAAAAAAAACTGATTACAACTTTTTGAACCCATTGATGAACTCTCGCTAACTTGGCCGATAGCACAGCTAACAGCCACCCCTAGCGCCGTCGTTACGCGTACATTTCATAAATGTAACAGAGACGTGAAAAATATATATTATATAGACGCTAAGCGCCTAAAAAGATCGGTTAGAGAACAATGAAGGGAAACTATGAGATGTTTTTTTTCTTGTATTGCACGTTGCGCAAGCAGGCGCCTGACTGGAGAGTTGGGTAATAGGTAAGGGGAGACACATTTTCGGGTTCAAGGCGTAACCAGCGCGCGGCTTTATAAACTATATAAAATGAATATGTTTTATATGTATAACTAGCTGCTTATGTGGATGTGTGTTGTTGTTGCCTTCAGTTGCTTCGATTGGCCGCCGGATTTTGTGTGCTTTACCACTGTGTTGTGGCTGTTGTGGCCGCCGCCGCCGTAGTCGGGTAGCCAGGCAGCAGGGGCTACTGTTAGTAAACCACCGGATGTTGCTCCACATTTGTGGGCAGATGCTGCAGTTGCATCGCGGCACGCGCCAGCGCGCTTGGATCACTTATCAATGCAATTGGCACCTGTGGTGGTGGCTGCTGCTGTTGTTGTTGCTGAGGCGGCGCCTGTGGATGCGACTGTTGTTGTTGTTGCTGTTGATGATGTTGCTGCTGCTGCTGCTGTTGCTGCTGCTGCTGCTGATGCTGCTGCTGGTGATGATGCGCCGCATGCTGTATGGACAATTGCAGCAACTGCTGCTGCTGCAGTTGCTGTTGCTGCTGCTGATGTGCAGCGACTGCCGCCTGCTGTTGCTGTTGTTGCTGCTGCGCGGCCACCTGTTGCTGATGTTGCTGATGCGCTGCTGCTGCCGCTTGTTGTTGAGCCGCCGCCGCCTGTTGCTGGGCAGCGGCTGCTGCCGCCGCCTGCTGTTGTGCGGCAACTGCTGCGGCCGCCTGCTGCTGCTTCTGCGACTGCTGGGCATTGTGCGAGATGAGCGAGCTGGTGACAAGCGGCACCAAGCCAGGCGTTAACTGGACGGCACCGGCGCCAGCCGCTGCAGCGCCCGCTGTTATCTGCTGAATGGTGTGCATCGTTGTTGTCGCCGAATGATGGGGAACTGCAAAGGGGGAAGATGCGGTCAGTATGGCAATTGAACGAGCGTAGGCAGACACAGTCGCGTGTCTTGTTTCGTGTGTTCTGTGTCCGACTCACTTATGATCGGTTTCACTTCCTGCTTGACTTGGGTCAGCACACCAGCCGGTATTTGCGGATGCGGATGCACGGGTGGTGGCGGCATCATAGCATCCGGGTGATTCATCTTCATGTGGCGCTTCAAATTGCCGCGCTCGACGAAAGCCTTGCTGCACAGTGTGCACGCGTGCGGTTTCTCGCCCGAATGGGAGCGCATGTGCGAGACCAAGTGACCTGCGAAACGGACAATGGAAGCGACATGAAGATATCTGCCGACAAGGAGAGATCGAATTTCGACAACAAAAAACCAAGGGTGGCGGCTCTTCCGACTTAAGCAGCCGAAAAGTCGAGCCACTCCGAACCAAACCAAGGCGAGCGAGCGGGCGGGCGGGCGTTTTTCTTACATTGTTATTTATTTTTCAGTTAGGGGTGAGGGGGACTTGGGGCAACTCAGCGCACAGTGAAGCGAATACTTGACAAAACCCAACTAACCAACCTATTGATTAGATTATATTTACACTTATGATAAAAATAAAAGGTACATTATAAAAACTTATCTTTATAGCATATATTTTGAGCTAGGCTAAAATTATTTGCGTGCTTATTTTTGTTGGTGATATTGACTAAATGCACAGAAAAAAATGGAAGCCCTAAGTTTCAAAATAATAATAAATAAATAAATAAATATGAAATAAAATATAATGCTCCTTAATTAAATACCCTTTCATATCAGCAGGAATAACTTATAAAAATATATCGTTTTAGATCATCCTAAAACATCTTTGACGAAGAGAAGAGTTTTTGGATTACCACTAGATAACTTATTGAATAACTTAATTAACTTATAATGCAATGTTAAACTATATTTGATGTTGTTAATAAAGATTACTAAAGCTCTATGCATTGTCTATTAATGATTACCTTTAAAAAGCTATTCACATACTTCCCGCTATAAATTTTGGTTTATACAAAAGCGTCTAATCAGAAAGAAAACTGATAATACGAAGATATAACAAATATTCCTAGATATGAACATGATGATTGAAAATACTTAATGGAATGAATAAACACGAGATGAAATTGAGTTGACCTTAACAGAGATTATTCGCTGCACTGTGGGTTAGAGGGAGGGGATTGGTTGGATGATAACAGAAATGCGGCTGGACTGGGAAGACTACTATGCTGACGCCACGTCTCGCGTACTACACTCTGCTACACATAAGGCTACTCACCTTTGCATATGAAATTCTTGGGGCACTTCTCGCAGGCAAACGGACGCTCGCACTCCTGGCCCTTGGTGTGGCTGCGCTGATGGAACAGCAGATTACCCTTGAGGGGAAACGATTTACCGCACGTCTCGCAGGTGAAAGGACGATCGCCGGTGTGGCAACGGGACATATGATTAATCAAATGCTCCTTGCGTGTGAAGGGCTTGTTGCACACATTGCAACAGTGGGGATTGTCGCTGGAGTGCTGGCGCATATGGTTATTGAGATGCTCCTTGCGCGTGAACGTCTTCTGACAGTATTCGCATTTGTGCGGCGAATCTCCAGTGTGCAGGCGTACATGATTCGTCAAATGCTCCTTGCGGGTGAAGGTCTTCTTGCAGTAGCTGCAACGGTGCGGCGAATCGCCCGTGTGCTGTCGCACATGATTCGTGAGGTGCTCCTTGCGCGTAAACGTCTTGGTGCAGTATGTGCACTTGTGCGGCGATTCGCCTGTATGTTGCCGTACATGATTAACCATGTGATCTTTGCGTGTGAACGCTTTCGTGCAGTACGTGCACTTGAACGGTGTCTCACCCGTGTGCTGGCGTATATGATTCACCAGATGCTCCTTGCGCGTAAACGTCTTCATGCAGTAGGAGCAGCGATGCGGCGACTCTCCCGTGTGCTGGCGCACGTGATTTAACAAATGCTCCTTGCGCGTAAACGTCTTGGAGCAGAAGTCGCACCGATGCGGCGTCTCGCCTGCTTGCGTGGTAAAATGTAAGAATCGTACAATAACATTACAGATTAGTAATCATTCACAAACGAACCATATTAACAAAAGATATTCATCAGTTTTCAGTCCTTGTCATTGTTAAAGTCTCGATCCGATTGGGTGTTTCCCCCCTAATACAACAACATAACCCCAGATGAGTTCAATTTGTGTGCTTAGTGTCTGCTCATTCAGATATCAGTTTGATTACTTTTCAATCACTGCGATTTCGTTGGTCAAATATAAAATATAATAAATCCATTATCGCAATCTCATGTTGTCAGACACAGTATATGAAATTTCATATTTTTTAGTGATTAACTGGGATATAATTCTGCACCCTGTATTTAAAATAGCTGTATACTACAGAGGTCTTTGCATCCCTCTTTGAAAGTATTTTTTATACCATACACAATCTAATACAAAAAATTCTAGCTACAAATGAGGGTTTTGATCAAACGAATTACGCGAGCCATATTTCAATACAAAAATAAATAAAGTAGATATGAATTTTAAAATCAAGTTATCGAGCAATAAATGACTTTTAGTGGGAGTTATTAAGCTTTTCATATGAATTACTGTATTTAGCAAGGATTCAAAGCTTCAATCACCATAATTTCAAATGCGTGATTGACTATTGCCACCGTACAATTCACGCTACTTTAATTAACCTTATTGAATTCAAAATATTACATTAATCAATGTAATAATCAACGAAACCGTATTTAATATTGAAGCTTCAATCACTTGGATTGACAATTGTTTTGTTTCTTTTATCGAATTACGATACTTAAAATAAGCATTTCGAATTTAGTTTTGATCAGTGATTGACAAAGATAATTCTGTTATTCATATTCAATTCTACATATGGCATTGATTTAAGCTTTAGTCACAGTACTCAAAATAATCGAATAGAATTCAGCATTTGAATCCATATTTGTGATTGACAATGAAATTGCATTGTTTTTGATTTATCAATAACTCACTCATGCAATGGAATAGTCCCATAAAATAGTGAATTTCCGATGGATTCGAAACACACTAACTCATTTGATTCATTATTAAATTGTTGTTATTTTGTTGTTGTTGTTATGACGCCCCCATCCCATCCCTTATGGTTCGTTATCGCTGCTCGTGCACCAATCGCGCATGTGTTTGTGGTTGTGTATGACTGTGGGGTCTTCCGGTCCAATTTGGACACTGATGGGGGCTGTACGAAATTTAGCGGTAAAATGCAATAGACTTGGCTTAGAGAGTGTATTTGTGTTGTGGTCGGGTTATGCGTTGGGCTGGTTGTTTGGTTGGTTCCGTTTTGTCTCTTTACCTGTATGCCAGAGTATGTGATTGGTGAAATGCTCCTTGCGACTAAAGCTCTTGCCGCAGATTTCGCAACGAAACGGCGTCTCGTTGGTGTGGGAGCGCATATGGTTGGCTAGGTGCTCCTTGCGCGTGTATTTCTTGCCGCAGACATCGCACTGATGCGGTGTTTGACCTGTTTGTTGGTGGTACACAGAACAGAGAACAGAAAGTATAGGGTGGGGAGATTTTTTCTGGTTAGCGCAAGCATTTAAATATGTTTTTCAACGCGATCATATTCTCGTATTATGCTCTAGACATTTGTAGCAAATTTTAAATGACCCACCAAATAATACAAATCAAAATATTTAAAACAAAACTAATTTCTAAAAATACAAATAAAAAAAATCACAAGAAAAAAAAAGAAACCCCCGGCACCGCTATGTGTGTGTGAAACTGGCCGTGGCTTGCGTTGGGTTCGAACGAAGCGAACGGAGGCTCGGCTTTGTGGGTGGCGCATGGTCGGTGGGCGTGGTTTTTGGTCATGTGAAGCGTATGTGTATGAGGATGTAGGTGTGTGCGTGTTTGTTTGTGTGCATTTGTGTGTGCCTGATACTCTAACTAGAGCTGGAAAGCAATTGGATTTGGGTTATAATTTTATATATTAATTACTGAGTATCCATTCCATTGAAAGCTTTCCAGTTCTAGATTTTCTGCGCTAATGCAAAATGCAAATGTGTGCGTGAACGTAAAGTTCGTCTGGTGAATGAAACCGGGTTCGACGCCAAAATCTAACCCTAAGTTAAATGCATGTGTGTTGGAGGAATGGGAGAATCTCTCCAGCCCACTAGGTGTAAAGTGTTTTCTTTGTTTGTCTTCTGTCGCAAAATGAACGCCGTAGGCACAGGCACAGGACGTTGGCAATCGACAAGCAGCAACAACGAACGCTTCTTTATTTTCAAGCACCCTGTACAGCAGATAGGGAGAGCGTTTACAAACTGGGATACTAAGGAAGTGGAGCACAGGCAAACTACACGAAGTAAGTAGGAAGAATCCAAGACGATTTCAATAACGGGAGCAATTGGAGGAGTGGAGTGAGTGGATTGATGAGTGAATGATTGTGATTTTTGAGTGTGAGTGTGTGTGTGTGTGTGTGATGTTGGCTTGGGGGGGTAGGATTGTTATGAGCGGTATGAGCGAGTATTGAGCGAGAAGATTGAAAATGTACTGAGCTTAACAGCAATCGACAGCATCAATTAAAATCGTATGATGTTAAGACTTTAACAATTTTCATCAGATTGATTTAACTATAAAAACAAATTATTCGTTTCGATTTCTTAATTATCATTCGATACGTGTAAAACAAATATTTTCGAAAATATAAAATATCGTATTTTTTTAAATGCATTCAAAATTTCTTAAAATTGCATAATTTTAACCTCTCCTAAATGATATTTACATCATTAAAAAAAAATAGTAGAAAATACTTCTTGCTTTATGAACTGTATTAATATTAAGTGGTGCTTACTATCGATAGTTATTCAGCTCTTAAATGTACTTTCGGAAGCAAAGGCAAAAATGTTCGTTTTGTGAGTGTGGTGTGGTGAGGTTGTGAGTACAAAATGCAGGGAAGCTGAAGGGCTACATATAAGGTGGCTTATATATAGGAAGCACAAGCAATGTAAAGACAGTGGGAAGAGGGAAGCAGACGAGAGGAATTACGCACGATGAGTTGCGGTTACTTGATTGATTGAGATTTGATTTGATTGATCAATTGATTGATTTTGATTTGGTTGGTGTGATGTGATGGCTGTTGATATTATCTGTAGCTGATTTGGTTGTTTTTTTTTTTGTACTCTACTGGAATTTGGTATTGATAATCGGTTATCGATTTTCTGTTTGATTTTTAATTATTAAATTTCTTTTTGCTGTTTTTGGTAATTGGTTTTTTGTGGTCGTGGCGCTCGCCGCTCGCATTGTCCGCCCCCGGTCACCAAATCACACTCACCAGTGTGCCACATGTAGTGGTTAACATAGTGTTCCTTGCGCGTGAAGGACTTCTTACAAATATCGCAACGATGTGGCGTCTCACCCGTGTGTTTGCGCACATGATTAACCATGTGCTCCTTGCGCGTAAACGTCTTGGCGCAGTACTGACAACGGAACGGTGTTTCGCCCGTATGCGAACGAAAATGATTGTCCAGATGCTCTTTGCGTGCGAAAGTCTTTTGGCAAATGGTGCAGGCGAATGGCTTGTCCGTTGAATGCCTTTTCATATGGCGCTCCAGACTCGTATTATTGGCAAACACATTGAAGCACACAATGCAAGTGAACATGGGACCGCCAATGTGGATCTTCCCATGCCGGGTCAAATCCTGCGATGTGGTAAAACCCTGACCGCATACCTGACACATGAACGGCTTGCGCTCGCTGTGGTAGCGACGGTGCACAATCAGCTGATAGCGAAACTGGAACATCTTGCCACAAATGTCGCACACATGCGTACCAGTCGCTATGGGCGTGCCATCCGGCGCCAACGCAACGCTCGATTGCCCATCGACGCCATGAATGCCGCCCTCCATTTTCGGCATTAGCAACTCACCCGTCGTCGTCGTCGTCGAGTTGTTGTTGTTGCCCCCATTCCCCCCGTTGCTGCCCGAGCTAGTTGTGGTCACCGTGGCGCTGCCCTGTTGTGATCCAGCATTTGTGCTTGTCGCTGGGGCTTGCTGTTGCTGCTGTTGCTGTTGGGCTGTGGCCGCTGCTGAGGCGGCCGCTGCAGCCGCGGCTGCTGCATTGGCCGAGGCCATTACAGCAGCGACGGCTGCATTATTTGTGGACGCCGCCGCTGCTGCTGCAGCTGCGCTAGCCGAATGCGTCGTCTGCGGCGGTAGTGGCGGTGGCGGTGGCAGCTGCGGCGGTGGCAGCTGGCTGCCATGCACCGCCGCCACATGATTCACCACATCGCCATGGATTTTGCCAAAGACCTCGTGATACGTAAATAACTGTGATATATCCTCAATGTTCACTTTATACATTTCAATGCCGTGTGGCGGCTTGTTGCCGTCGTCTTTATGATCTGATTTGCTGCTGGGCAATGGCGGCGGTCCGCCCAAAGTGATGGTGGTGCCACCGCCAGTGGTCACCACCGGTGCTGAAACCACCGAAGGTGCCGAACTGGCAGCGCTCACGTGCTGCATTTAAGGAGAACTAGACACAAATAATGTTGCCGCTCTCTTTTTTTAATTCTTGTTGTTCTCGTGTTGATTGTTGCTGCTGCTTCTTAAACAGTTGTTGTTATTGTTGTTGTAGTTGTTGTTGAAGTTGTAGTTGTTGTTATGTTGCTGCTGCTGTAGCTGTGGTTGATGCAGCCTACATATTGTTGTCGTTGTTGCTGCTGTCGACTGCTTTCGCTGGCCGTCGTGGCTACAAAAAGTCAAGTGGAATTTGTTGGCTCTGGTTATTGAAATTGGACAATAGCGGGGATCAAAGGCAGAGGAGCGCTAGGCAAAATTACCATGTAGCTTATTCTTCTTTTCTGTTCTAGGACATGCCCATGTACTTTTTCTTATAGTTTGTATATCCGACTGCAGCCCGAGTCCTGGTAATTTAACCTAGAAGTAGTAAACATTGCAGAGTTCAGTAAGAAAAAGCCACATAGGGACATTGCAGTCGGTGGCAACCGACAGCTTAATACTCTGTTCAGTCTAATTACCGAAAACGAAAATTCTCTTAATAAGACTCTGTGACACAAAAACTAAACTCGTGACATTCAAACTCTGAGTTGATCAAATTTCGATCTTTACAAGTTAAGGGACAAGGATGGACGGCTCCTCCCCATTTTGGCTCGACGTATAGAGCAGATCATGAGTAATTTACCTGTCAAATTTTGAGACTAACTGTATGACTATATATAGCAGGTATAGATTTTCGAAGTACGCCCTCCTCTATTAGGCGTGGCCCAACAATTGTATAGCGGATAAACATTCCAGGTTTCAAGTCTCTAACTTCAGTGGCGAAACAAATTATGTTTAACAGACAGACGAATATTCGAACAAATCTAATATACTCGTTTTCACACGTTTAACTGCAAACTAACTAACTAAGCTACAAAAGCGGATTAAATGTAAACATTTCTTCATCAAAAAAAGCAAACTAATTTCAGTATTGAAAAAAAATATGTATATCAGTTGTATCTAAAATCTAACAAAGATGCGATAGTTATAAAATGCATCATAAGCATGCTTAGACAGAAATTTAAATTAACTCTCTAATTACATTCTATCAATTAGCTAGACAGAACAACGAGAACAGTTAACAGTGTGACAACATTTTACGAGTTAGGCGTCACTCTTTTTGTAGTTGTTGTTGTAAAGTGAACTAATGTTAAACTGGTGCATTGGCGGCTGGCGAGCGTTAACCCTTCAACATACGAGTACAGTTGAGCAGCATATACGAACGCACATACACCCAGACCCATTTACATACATCAGAAACATATTCTCATACGTAAAGATGTTCAAAAATGCGGCTGAGCAGATATTGATTTTATGCTGATAAACTAAAAAATATTGCCCATTAGTAAAGTAAAGAGGCTTAACCACAAAAGCTGCGCGTTCTTCTGCACACACAATGAAATAACTTTATATAAATTGTAAAAGCAAAAGACACGCACACGCAAATAAATATCGAAGCAGACATAAGAAAAGGGAGTGGAGTTTTGGGCGTGAAGTATGGCTCCGTTGATATGCCTCCCTTTAGCAGGATTCAGGATTTAGATATCCAATCAGAGAATACAAGCATTTGATAGAAATGGTGAGAGCGTGCGTGGAGAGTATGGGAGGAAGAGTCTAAGTGTAAGTGTGAGAGGAGGCAGGTGGCTGATGTAAATATCAAGAAGTACAAATCGATTAAAGACAACGCGCTTTGGAGCGTAAGTGTTTGTGTATGTGTATGAAAAACTAGAGCTGCCTGCGGGGGGTTAAATAAATGCACGGCATACAGAGAGAAACGGAGCGCGCGCGCACGAGTGGGGGATGGATGAATAGCGGGTAGCGGAGAGTACATTGTTTGCTTAGGTCCTGAGCTATAGCAAGCACTTAAGCAGTATGCTTCCCTCTCTCAAAGCTGTCCTCTCTCACTCTCTTTGCGTCTTTCCATTTGATTGTTTTCAGTGGTCCAGCAAATAATTCAGCTAAGCAGAAGACACACAAACACAATACAAATATGTGCGAGAAAGAGAGGGGGTGTGGGAGAGTTCATGTAACACAAAAAGGGCGCCACTTTTTATATGGTGAGGTAGGAATATATATAGGTACATATGTACATATGTAATACATATATTTTATTGTATGTAACTCGAATTTGTGCTGCCTGGGCCCGGGAAAATGGGCGGCACAGGCACGAGAAAAAGGCTAATAAAGCTTAACTCTAAGATATCACAAATATAAACAACAATGGATCATTTTCATCGGATTTAAAATTAAAATTAAAACAAGGAACATTAAATAGGCAATACAATATTAAACATATATATATTTTAAAATGATTGAATCCTTTTTATATGTCTAAGTAAAACTATGTGGTCGACGATAAAATTATTGCATAAGATGAAATTATTGTTTTGATAATATAATAGCAAACTGTACTCCAAGTTAAATCCATATTATTTTTAAAACTAGTACAATGTAGTTAATTACAATCGGCAAACCGCCCATTTCACTTACGTTATGCAATATCTTGCGCTCTGACTTTTAATCGTCGCCTTTCTGTCTCACAGGGAGCAGAACTTATATATTAAATGTACTTTAAAATTAACCGGCTGCCGCGCTTGATGCATTTTCAATCAGTACTTCGTTACGTTCGGGCCACCTGCAAAAAGAGAGGCAACGATAACAGCAGCGGTGAGCAACAGTTTGTTTTGTGTTTATGTTTACGCGAAATAATCAAACAGACCGCGCGGTACAGTTGCACTCCCCTTCCCACTATTTAAGTTTGCCGCCACCACGCACGGAACACCAGAAAGCAGGGAAGGCAGCAAAAGCAAATCAAGTGAAAATTATTTGCAGTCAATATGCAAAAGCACACACATACAACAGATGTGTACATATAAGTGTATACGTGTGTGTGCTTGTACAGGCACACAGATGAAAGCTGCGTCGCAATTAACGGCAGGGGGCGACAGACAATTGGCAGGGCTAACATGATTGAAATTGGAGCCCGTGTAACATGTGCATATTTTTATTTAATAGTAAAAAGCATATTGTAAATATGTATATACTCGAAATAATTGTGTACCAAATATCAACAAGTAATTAAATGTATTTTAACATCGTAAAAGGTTCACTATTATTAATTTATCAATCATATCGTGCTAACAAATCAAATTAATTATATGTACTATAAGTACGTATACACATACATACATAGGTACGTATGTGTTTATGTATGTACTACATCTATTGCGGTATGTGCGTGCATTGCCCGTCTTCTAGATGTTGAAGCTCTCTGCTTTAATTTGCTTTTGGCTCCTCTGCCAACAAAAAAAAAAAAAAAAAAGAAGTTGTATTTCATTCTCTCTGCTGCCTCTCTCACTGGTTTCTTGGCCCGCAATCGTCTCTTCATTGTGTGGCCTGGCCCATGCCTCTTCTTCCTTGCTTTGTGCACTTTTATATTTTGCTTTATTTGTTGTTTCGTTGCTCGCTCACACGACGTTCGCTGCCGCTCTCGCTCTTTCGTACGCTATTCCTGCCTCTCACTCTCACAATTACATTGCCTCTCAGTATTCATTGAACAACGCTCCACCGTTTCCTCATACACACCCCTCTGACGATTTGCACGTTGACGCTACATACAATTCCAACCGCCTAAAGCGGAAAACCAATAAAAACGAATTGAATCGCAAAGCGTAAGTACAAAATAAAGCGAAAAAGGCTGGCACAGGCAAAACGAGAAAAAATGAAAGCTAAGGCGGGCGCGCGACGAGCGAACCAAAACGAAAAGAGAACAGTACAGGCGGCGCATACAAGTTTTGCGTTTTGCCCACATTCTATGTCGAACTCGAGTTATAGTTATAATTATTTCTGTCGTTGCCTCGTCTCTCGGCTTTTTATTTTTAATTTTGTTTGGTTGTCGCTCAATTTTTCGCTGAGCAGGGAGAGGCGTGAGAGAGATACATATGTATTTTCATTACAGGCAATTAGTGTGCATTTCATAATTGTTTAATAAAATAGAATATAAATTTAAAAAATAAATAAAAAGAAAACTCGAATAGAAAAAAAAAACTATTATGGTATACTGATGTATAGACTAATAATCAGAAACTTTAACTTAATGTAACATATGGTACCCACAAATCTAAAAATGTAATTTTCGAATAAGATATTCACATGTCATATATACATGCATACAATCAAAGCTCACTTGCATTTGCATTTATTAATACGAAAAATTAATTTTTCGAAAATGCAACCCTGCGTCGCAGAGCAAACAAGAAAATGACACGATGATGACGTTAATGGGAACTCGGTATGTGTATATATATACATTACGAAGTCACACACACGTTCTCACAGATACAATACATAAGCGCACAGCAGCTCACGTATCTCATTCTAACGTACACACATAAGCATGCATAAGTTGCTCACACTCTCACACACACACACTGATGTCGACCGCAGTCATTTGATAATATTGTATTAGAATTTCACAAATGTACACTATTTTTCCAATCAGATTATTTCCACTCGCTTCCAAGAGCACTTTTCACTATAAAGCCTCACTACCCCAACCAATTACTTGCGTGCATTTTTGCATAAACATTCGCTAAAATATGTTCTTATGACGCCATTATATGTATGTATGTATGAAAAATTACTTGATTGTAGTGGTTGCGGTGCGTGTATGTGGAAAAAACTTTAGCAGCACAGCAGCAACAGTAGTAGAAAAATCAAAACGCCGCGCGGGTGAGAGGCGGTGGTGTACGGTGTACAGAGCAAAGCAAACTGAAAATTGAATGAGACGCGGAGGCAGCAGAAGCAGAAGCGCGATGTAAAGTTCTTCGTGAGGCGCATTCGTTTCGTGCCCTGCACGAACACACAGTGAGCACAAACAATTGACATACCTCGTTCCTGCGAACGGAATTTTCAATATGTTCAATTTTATTTTATAAACTTCCCCAACATGTTTAAGGCAATTAACTTAAAAATAAATAAATCCACAATATGTAATATTTCAAAAAAAAAAATAACATTTTGTTAATTGTCTTAAGCCAATAATAAATTTTCATATAACCAAGCAAATTAAGTTGCAGCAGTACAGTTGATAAAAACATCTGCTTGAACACCTTGTGATTGAGTCAGCGTATTCGATAGATTATTATTATTTTACTTATGTATATATATAAATATTTAAAAAGAGGAAATTTATAAATGAATAGGTGTTAGAGGTATATAGACAACAATTATTTTTGTTACTTATGTACATTAGCATCAATTCTACATAGTTTCGAACTACCCATGCTGTGCATTCGTGCAGAGCTCTTGTATCGTGTTCGGCGTTCCTGTTTCTCGTGGGAGAAGCAGAGAAAAAGCAAAGAGAGAAAGAGATGGTGTTTGAGAGGGAGAGGTACAGAAACTGTGTGTCGTTTTTGCGTGTATGTGAGTACGTTTGTGTGCGATTGCGTTGTTCTTATTGACTGGCTGCGCGCTGCTTTCAGGAGCTTGTGCTTGGGTATAAAAAGGCGGTAAAAATTTTAAGCTGAAATATGGGAACATAATAGTTGTACAACCATTATATACACACAGCACGCTACTTGACTTCGGGGTTAGGATTAAATATATGAATGCACATACACATACATGCATGCGTATGCATATGCACATTTTACTTACAGCGGTCAGACCAGAAAACCGAGTTCTTTCGACTTGCACACCACTCCTCTTTTTTCTTGCTTGTGTATTGCAGCAGCAGGCGTCCAGCACCACAACGCATACAATTCTTCCTAATGGAGGCTGAAGACGGACACCAACAACGTCAAAATTTCATACCGCACGCACTTTGGATATCTTGTTTTTGCCAACATTTTGCACCGCGTTTACGCATATTATTTCACTTTTTTATATCAGCATTTTTTGTGCACAAAAGATGAAGAGCGAGGAGAGCAGAATTAGGGATGGTTCTAGCGAGTTATCGAAACTTCGATATTTAACAAATTACCTTTTGATATTATATGCATGGTAACTATTGTTCGCCATAGATATGATATCGATGTTAATAAATTTCTTAAATTGGGCTTAGTATGGTTGGTAAATCATTTAGTTGGGTTATATAATGGAGAATATAATATGCGTGTGCTTAAAATAGTTGTACACATATAAATTACTGTTAATATAATAAAAAATATGATTGGCTTAAATGATAAATATATCGATAGGTTAATAATATCGTATATAATATACGCAAAAGGCCCATTCATTTTGTTTGTTTGCCTTCTTTCGTAAAAAAAAAAAATTAATTTTCTTAATGTATGTAAACAGCTGTGGCTAAATATGCGATTGACTTTGGTAAATTCTTAACTCATTATAAAATAAGGTTTCCATATAACACACTAAATTCGCCCCAATTGGCTGTTGAAGCGGCCGGCTTTTTCTTTTGTTTTTACCTGTTGGCCATTAGGTACAAAAATTCGTTTAGGTCAGATATACATAATTTTCCGTTAAATTAGTGCTAAGAAATTTAGTTTGTGATTTGTTTTATTTCGCGTTATCGTAAAATAAATTACAAAATAAAATACATTTGCATATAATTCGTATCCTTATGTGTCTAAATGTATTACTGTACTCACGAATCTTGGGTTAATATTGCGCTGTTTTATGTTAGTATGAACCAAAACAGAAATCTATTTCGACGCAGGCTACGCCCCATAATTGTGCTGCGCCTTAAGCATAGTTTGCATTGTGGCCAAGGAAGCCGTTAGCGATCGTTCTGGATTATTCATTCTAAGTATATATATAAAAGACCTAAGACAAATCTATACGAAATCACATAATTGAAATTAAGGAAAACCGAAAAATTCGTAACAAATGTACAAAAATAATGTTTTGTTTTTAAGTTCTTTTCTGTGTTTTTGTTTTGGGGGCGCAGTTGCTAAAATTCATTTTGGTTCAGTCACTTTGGAATCCATTGAGATTAATTCGATTTGTTATTGTTGTGACTAAACCAGTTACAAATTACAATATTTAATATTCAAGCATTTTATACAGTGCAATTTTCTTTGAGTTTACTTTGTTGTTTATGTTTATGTTTATTTTTCATTTTAATATTTTTGGCAATTGGTTACGCGCTGTTGTAGTTGTAGGCATATGTTAAAATCATCCAAATCCTTGACTGCAATCGGTAGTTTCGCCTACAATAATATACAAATATGCTAGAACAAGTATTCTATACCATTGTATATATATAAAAAGTGGTCCTTAATTCGAGACTTGGTGTGAGTGTGTGTGAAAGACTTTCGTTTGTTTTTTGTTTTTAGTAAATTTTTTGTTTTGGATGTGCTTTTTTGTTAGATGCTCGTCAAATTTGGTGTATTTTGCTAAAAAACTCACGTAGTTATTTAACGATATTACACTTAATTAATGACAGTGTTTTTGAAGACTTGCGAAATGTATAAATTTAAGTTCGTCGAAATGTAGAGCAAATTAAACAAATTGTGATAGTTACACTTGCAGGCGCGACCGTTTCAGTTTTTGTGGAAAGGACAGTACGGAACCGCTACGGTTTCTACAGAATTGTTTATAGATTTAAGTTTTTAATAAGCTAATATAAATCACGATAATATGGCCACGCTTCGCCGCGGACCGCCCTGACTGACGTTGTCCATTGAGGACCATTTCTTAATGCCATTCTTAAGCGCCTCGGCTGTCACCTTGTCCTGCATAACACGCGACATGGCCTCCAGTTTCTGTGCGCGCTCCTTTGATAGCGGCTCAGTGGGAAAATTTAACTCGTTCGCCTCGGCAAGCGTGCGCAGATCAAAATAATATTTGGCATAAACGGAAGAGGGCACATTAATGTTGAACTGCAAGAGCTCCAGAAACTGACGCTCCAACTCGTTCATATCCTCGACCGTAATATCCTTGAGTATCTGGCAGTAGTCCACGTTCCACACTGCCTGGTCATCCCACACCTTAGATGCAAGCAGTATGGCACCTGCAATGCAAGCCACACAATATAAATAAGAAAATCGTAAACTAGTTAAGGCGATATCCAGGAATAAATATTTTTTCCATGCAGACTATAATCATGAACTGTGGAGCTGGAGTTGCAGAACTCGAACTCGAATAAATCATTAATTGGAGTTAAAGTGAACATGGAGGACATAAACTATTAAACTTTAAACAAAGTTTTAAAAAAAAAGTCTCCCAAAAGGGATGAAAATGTTTAATAAATGCTACCAGACAATATATGATTATATTCTTTATCCATTGATAAGGAGAATTCCGTGAATATCGCGCATCTCGAATAACATACCCAACACCATGCGCTTCCAGTTGCATGGCCCCACATCAAGTTCCGCGTAGGTGAGCAAACGCTCCAGATAGACTAACGTTATGATGGCACACTCGGCCGTTAGTTGGGCGGCATTGAAGAGCGTGCGCACAAACTTGTAGATCTGTCGATGCTCAGGATTTAGTGTATCATAGTTGTCGGGCACATGGTCGTGTGTTAATGGATGCAGCTTCTCGTCGAATATGTCCAAACGTCGATCCGACTGACGATTCTTGATGTGATAGTAAATTGCTAGAGAAACGCATTTGACGGTGTTCTTAAGATTCGGTTGCGACACAGTGCTGTCATCTAAATAAATGGTGGAACAGGAGGAGCTCTTCTTGAGGCCACCTCCAATGCCGCCGCCAGAGCTGTTGGCGCCAGGTGTGTGCGCTCCGCCGCCTCCTATGCTGCTGTTTTGTTGTGCGATTTGATGCTGTGAGCGCTTACGTGACATGCCGCCATTTTCGACTTTGGAGCGCTCCAGAAACATGGTGGCTGCCGTGGGATCCACAGAAGGATCCTCTTCACCTTCGAGCGCCTCACGCTCCGAGATGTGCTGCAGATTCTGTTGATTCTCAAAGTTATCGGCATTGCTGCCCTGCTGATGTTGATGATGATGCACGGACATCGTGGCGCTACCAGATCCATGGTGACCGTCTAGCTGATGTTGGGATGTGTGCGGTAGCTGATGCCTCTCCTCAAACACCGGCGGTATATCCTTCGATTTGCGATCCGATTGTGGACTTGAATACGCACAGCACGAGTTCTTGTTGCCCATGGTCGATGCTTGATGGTGAGTCGCTTAAGATCAAAAATAAATGCAACTGCCTAGCGTCTGACTAGTTTGGTCTTCGCCTCTCTCTTTCTCTTCGCTTGCTTCACTTGGATTGCGGGCCAAAAGTAGCTCTTGCTACACTCGACTTGGGCCGGAATGGGTGCTCACGCTTTAGAATTCCTGCGATTTTTGGCACTTGCTCGGTTTCGTTGACTACTTGAAGCGTTTTTTATGAGCATGGCGCTGGCGTATCGTTCAACAATAACTGCTGCTGCCTGCAACCAAGCGCCGAACAAGAAAGTATAATCTGCAAATACAAACAATATACATGTGTTTTTAAATCAAGCCTGAAAAACATATAAACGGTGTTTCTTTATGCCTTGATAAAGCCTAGCCTAGGTTTACTGGTCCCATGTACAAAAATATAATAAATAAATATAAGATCTCTCCACTCTGCTTAGGTGTGCTTGCATTTTGTGCCCTCTAATTCTACAGTTACGTATAGTATTTATTTAAAATAAACGACCCAATGATAAAGATGCTGTCCGGATACCCCGCAACGTGGCGTACGCGATAAGATTCCGTTGGCCTGTTTATTTACAAAGCGATGGCGCTCAGATTATTATTGCAAAATTAATTAAGTCCGAGCACGACAGTCGGTGGGTGGACGGTGGCGTCGCTAAGGCGTGTCAAGGTGCTTGTGTGGCCGCACTATTGCTTAATTTGGTAAAAGGAAACTGGAAAAAATATTGAATGGGGCGGGGCCCGCTTTATGGTCAGGCGGTTTGGATTGATAGTCCAGTTTAAGATAAGTGTGTCACTGTCACTTGACCGAAACGTTTTGCCCATTCAACATTAATCATGGCCTTTTCACAAATAACAAATATCAGCAACAACAACAACATAGTCTTCAATTTGCCGCTGCGTGCATGGCAACGCCATGAGCAAAAACTTCACTCATACACACACATATTCACGTACACAATGGAGTAGTTGACTGCGTTGTTGCTAACAATAATGGTCTAATTAATTTGTTAACGCTGCATTAGCGTTAAATTTTATGCACACAATGCACTGCATCTTATTGGTATTTGTATCGACATTTTTATAGGAAACTCTAGCGAAAAAATGTTTTTACTTGTGCAGCTACTTACAATAAACTGACAGTAAGCACGCAACGTGTACACAATATCGTTCACATGTTTCGCTCACAAGCAACCAGCTGTTCTTGGGGTATGTTATACTCAAATGGTTCTGCTCTGCTTAAAAAGCATGCAGATTTTGGTAACAGACTTTTAGCATGCTGTTATTGTAATCGATTTTCGATGCCACAAGTATCGATAGTCTTATATTTTAACTGAAAATCAAGATAATATGAAAAACGCAGTAATAGGTTTAATTATATTTTTATTAGTATATTAAAAGTCATATGTTGTTATTATAATTTCTTGAAGGTATTTCGTAATAAGCACACACCTCAGCCATCTAAATACTTTCATAAACCAGCCGATTAATATGCATAATAAACATTTTGAGTTCAACATAGATGGAAATCAAAAAGTTTACTTTGTTTGTAAACCTTTTAGAGACGTTTATGCGAAAAAACGTTTGTTTTACTTTAGTCATAAATGAAACAAAATTATTTACAGTTTAGCGTGCAGCATGTTTGCTATAGGAGTGTATTTAGTGTTGTGCTGGTTAAAAATGGATTATACATTTTGAATGTTGCACAACAATCTGTGCACATTTATTTACACAAAACCTACATTTTGTTAGTTCGGTCTGGTTTTCTTTGCTTGGTTAAGTATAACATATTTATATGCAGTAAGTAGTTTATTCTTTAAATGTAATGATTGCTTTCAACTCATATATTTATACATACTTTTTTTATAAATATGACTTGCACTTTTCTAAAAAGAACGTCAAACGGAAATGATCATTTGTGATCTTTCAGTAGAATTACAATCGTATCCTTTTTGCTAAAAACCGCATAATGTGTTACCAGAAGTTTTTAAATTGTGTTAACCAAGAAATTTGACAAATTTTGATCAAAAATGCGTGCATAACTTATGTATGTATGTATTATATATTATCGAATTGTTATTGATATTGTTATTATTATGTTAGTTATACAATATGTGTGTATATATGCGTGTTAAATATTTATTGTTGCTACAAAACTACATTCGCTAGTAACGTTAAGACATATGTACGCTTGAATGTATTGTACGCTATGTTGGTAACAGATTTCATAACAATATTCTCTATTCATTTATCTTTTTCATAGCTTTTTCATATTAGCCAAACAACTGAGAGATATGCACAGACTTTAAATTGGACTGTGCCCCAAATCTTATGCCCGTTCTTACATCGTTCGCCTCTTAATTTTGTACAGAGTTCTACATAGATACAAATAGAAAGTGACTATAGCCGACTATAACTGTATTGCCTAATCGCTTTGAGCGTTCAATTTGTTCGATACACATACTTTTAATATTATATATACATAATATGTATTCGTATTTGTGGCCTATGCATATGTATATGTTTTAATATTTGGTATGGTATGGTATGGTATGCTATATTGTGTATTTGCTGTAGCTAAGTACGAGATTAAATATGTATATAAATATGTATGTTTGCAAGTAACTAACTGTATGGTTTTATACGGTTCATACGGCATATGGCATACGGCATAGCACATATGCATTGTTACCAACTACAGTAGTTAATTACAAGTATTTACTACCTTAATAAAGCTATGATCCCAATTTCAGCTGATAATTTGGTACCTTACCGCTAAGCATATTTACCACTGCCCTTTACCCCGCCCCGCCCGATAAACGCCAAGGAGCGCACAATAACTGTTCCCAGGCAAGGGAAATTCCCATTATTTCTTATCGCCCGCTCGTCTTTTGCCACCGTCGCTGTCTGTCGCTGTGCAAAGGGCAATGGTAAATCTTAAAAGAATGGTCCCGCTATCAGACATTTTGAAAAACGTTTAAAACATTTTAGTTTGGATTCCTCATCGAATACGAGAAAAACACAGACAAGAACTTAAAGAAAAGAATCGTCTAACATATAAACTGTGGTAGTCATTATGTTATTATTTTTTTTTTTGTTTTGGTTTTTCGTTTTTTGTAAACATAAGCCTTGTTCACGTATAAAAATAAATATGCTTATGGTATACAACACTTTTGGATGAAGTGTGCAATTACGAGTATGCTTTATAATTATACTTAACATTCATATATGTACGTACATACGATATACGGTATGCATCGAGTAGGTAGCCTGTGCATATGTGTAGAGGGAAATTCAAGTAAAGATTTCGATTTTGGTTTAGATAGTCTGTTAGAGGTCTTTTAGATATTAACACAAGTTGTATAGCTAGTTAATTTGTCAGGTATTTTTTAGTTTAGGTACTTAACATCTAGGCAGCCCTTAGCGTCCTCGCTTCCATTCGTAACTCCAAAATTGAGCAAAGTTTAGTATTCACAAACGAAAAAACCGAAAAGTTATAAAAAATAAAGTTTTAATCAAATAATTTGCATACAGAAATGTCATAACAAATAATTATATAATAAATTCCAAACTTGTTGAAAACTTAAGAAAAATATATAAAATAAGTAATGGATAAGAATAGAGTTTGCTCTAAAGCAGTATAAGTAAATATTTTTCAATCTATGAACTAAGCTAAGTAAATGCTTATTAATTGTTGTTGTTGTTACCGATAAAAACGAAATAATCTCCTACAAATGCCAGCTATTTACAAAATTGTGACCAAAATGTTAAAACGCTTTCGATTCGTGCTTTACGCTAATATTTGTTTATGCTTTCAAATTTGCTTAGCATTTTTAACAAACTAGTTGCAACAAATAATACACTATATATCAAATAGTACATTCATAAATTTACTTATTTTTCCTTTTATGTGATATTATTTGATTTTTGATTGATCAATTACTAACATAAAAAAAGTGCGCTAAGAAACTGCACATATAGCCGATATTTTGTTATTTATATCAATATTGATTAATCAACATATTTTATACAATTTTCAAATTATGTATGTAGTTATATAGTTGCTACTTAGTTGTTATTGTTGTTGGTATTATTATCTGTGCAGAGATTGTATCTAAGTATCTGTTATCTCTTATCTCTTATCTATTGCATATCGCTTAGGGGTTACTTATTTAGACGCATCTCAAGGACATTTAGTTGGCAGCAGCGCTATCTGCCGCCGCTTCCTTCTCTTCCCCGGCCTCCGTTTCCGCAGCGGGGTTATCCTCGGCTTCGGCTGCAGCTTCGGCAGCGGCGACCAGCGCACGTGCCTCGGCATCTGGAAGGGAATCGTATAAAGGATTAGTCGAGGCTACTCCTAAGTTTAATATAATCTTCAGGATCGAAGGTAGCTTTTGGAAGTCCTGCACATAATAAACCCAGCTAGGCATTTTCATGCAAAACAATGTACATACTTCTTTTTCAAAAATAAGTATGTTAACTGTTTCAATACTTAAGAAATTAAGACTCCAATTCTCATGATATTTTTAAGTTAATTTTAAGTCCAAATTACTAAATTCATATTATTCTTCTTTCAGTAATATTCTCCCTTATATTAAATGACGTTTAACAGAGAGAAAGGTCTTGATAAGTTAGTACACAGCGATATATCGAGGATTTTTATTATCAAATTCGGAACTTTTTCTGGTGTGAAAAATTTAAAATACATAAAATACAATTCCAAATATGGCATCAAATAGATTGCCAAGTCCAAAGTCCGATTCGCGTCTGCACAAAAATACGAATCGGACTAGCTAAAGGATGTAAGCACCTTTTCGTTCATATTTTAGCAGATTTCAATTTCAATTTGAGTATATTGTGGAGTTTCCTGGTCTTGACTAGCTTTATATGGTGCTTTTTCTTCGTCGATCTAAGAGCTCTGCGTAAAAGGTTTCAGTTTGTATAATGAAATGCAAAAGATCAAAGGCGAAGGACATTGCAATTAGTCCATGCCCAAATTAACTACGGCAAGCGGCTAAAAGGCAATTTGAGTGCTAATCAAAATCGAATTAATTTGCGAATCTAAGCCGAAGGCCATGTCTGCAGCCAGATAAGGTGTACCTACCTTTGATGGCTTGCTCCTTCCAGATCTTTTTATTTTCGGAGAGACAGGCGAGCCAGGGCTTGTTAATTGAGAACTTGGCTGTACTGGAAGCTAGGCTTTTGCGCGTCATGACGCATGCATTTGGTTTTTTCGTCTCATCGGAATCAATATCAACGCCAGTGGCGCTCTCCTCGACCAAGGGTCCTGGCTTGCTTTTAATCGCTGGGGCAATGGGCGTTAGAATATGCTCGAGCATATCGGACATGATGGTCATGCTGGGTTCCACAATGAAATCGATGAAGCCGATTTGAGATTCGGCCACGAGCGTATTCTTGCGATCACATAGCGGACTGAATGGTAGGCCCAGCTCCTTCTCGAGATCGCCCTGGCGAAAGAACTCCTCCAGCAGCAGCATCGTCCAGCGATGGTGGACATCCCAATGTTTCGCTGGATGGGAGATATCACAGCAGTGCAGGACCAAGGACAGCGCCTTCGATTTGTCTATGGTCGGCTCCTGCAATGTCAGCAGATTGCGCATAATCTTCAACTGCTGAAAGTGATAGGTCATGTCGGTGGCCAGCACCATATCAATGATGAGGGTGCGCAGCTCCTTATACTCCTCGCGCGACAAGTGCGACAGTATATTGGCGTCGTCCTCCCTCATTAGCCGAAAGCTGGCGCTAACATGGTGATTCTCCAGCACGGCCCGATCATTGTAGAGCAGCGCCGTCTCCGAGCCGGACATAACGTGGAAATTGTTGGTGGTGCCCGTGTGCTCAAAGTCGTGCAGCAGGGCCGCCAGCAGCGAAGCGAAGATCTCCAGGTCCGTTAGCCAGTTCATGAGACCCGTGTTGCACAGGCAATAGTGCATCGTGTGCATCACATCCACCGCATGAAGATTGTTGTGATATGGATTGCGGAAGCGACAGTAGCCCTCCTCCACACGATGCAGAAACGTCTCCAAAACGCCTGGGGCTATCTTAAACTTGTGCATGGCGCCATATCGATTGAGCAGATCATAGGCTACGTACTTAATCACCTGACCGCTGGCCGCCTCGGTCAATGCAAACACATCAAATGTCCAGTCGTCAAGGTTCTATTTAAAGGATGTGTAACAAAAAAACATATGCGGTTAAAATTTCATATGCGTACATATACTTAAACAGAGGAGTTTTCTAAATGTATCCTGTTTCACACCTTTTCTCCACACTGTGAAAAATCTACCTTTAATAACAATTGCTTGCCCGATCTTGAGATGAAATTTAAATATTAAAGGTTGATGAACAGATGGACTTGTCAAGATCGTCTCAGATGATCAAAGCTTTATATAGTTGGGTTAGAAGGATGAGGGTTCTTTGTGGAAATTCATTTCAAAATCCCCCCTTCTGGGTTGCAAACAAAGCTCAAAGGTTGTATGGGCGAAGGTTCACGTTTCGAAAGATTAGTTTCAAACTTGTTTACATACAAAATAAAAAAAAAAACAGCGATTTTAGAAATTCCACCCGCATCAGTGGAAAATTGTCGGACTGTTGTATTCGACTTTTTTAATCACTCATTTTCAAATATCTTTGAGTAAATTCAAATAATCCCCCGTTCTTGATGAATAAAAGTCTATTTTCAGACTAAGAGCTGCTCGCAACGAGTCTAAGCTGGATGAACTGTTGATTCCAATTAATTCTCTTGAGTCAACGAGCGATAAAATACAAATGTTTTGGTATTGATTTCACCCGTAAGGGTGGAAAATTAGTGGAAGACAGTTATGAAACTGTTTGTTAACCATCCGATTGGCTTGAAACCCACGTACGCAGATTGCGGAACCTAAATATTAATAAAATGAGCATGGTAGTAGAATTATGTAGGACTAATGGCATTATTATAGCTAGTATTAAAGCTTATTAAAGCTTACGCTGAATGTTGCTGTAGTAGCTTGGAAAATACATCACCAAGGTGGCCAAACTGTTCATTGCAACTTTTTATTTCTTCTTAATTTGAATCAAGTTATTTCATTCAACTAAAAATGTTTCGGTTTGGCAACTGAACAATATTTAAAGCGGAGCATGCGACGCCTTGAAATTTGTTTTCGCGCATTTCCATGTTTCATTTATTAGCACAAAAGCCTTCAGTTCATTTTAGTGAAAGGGCAAGAAATCAAAGGGAAAATGGTGCAAGCTTCGAGTTTTAGCGAATTTCATGTTTCTTTTCAGAAAACTTCACAAAGAATATTGCATAAAATACTTTGTGAGTGATTTCTGGGTGCGGTGCGAGGCGTGCCACCAAGTTTTGACCACTGTATCATATTTAATTAGAAATATGTTCACTGATCTAAAATGCTTAACAAGGGCAAACATTGTTTTCACTTCTAGAATACTTAATCGATTGATAACGAAAGTTTGAATATATAAACAAAGGTGGTTTCCGCCTTCTTCACATTTGAACAGTCTAGGTTTTCCACTCCAGTGCGAAATTTCAAATTTCCTTTATCTTTCATTATGAAAATGAGTTTTAATTCGATCAGATGAAAAATAAAAAAATTCTATCAATTTTTTTTAGAGAATCAGTTTTAAAATGCATTTTCATAGATATTAGAAAATTGCAATTGATAGATTTTCGCCTATTTTTCACCCGTGTTGATGATTTTAAAATTGGTGAAACACTTAAATATTCTTTTATAATGTAAATATTTTGAAGCCGACGTTACTTTGTCATAGAAATTTTGTAACCCATTTATTATTCAGTGTAGGCTGGCTTTTTTGAAGAAACACGTCTTTAATGAAATTTTACCAATGTCTTGGAGAATGAGCTCATCGGATATTGTTGAAAATAGTTTAAAAACAATATAATTTTCTAAATCACTGAAATACATATAATAACATTATTTAGGACGCCCATTGATCATGTTTTACCCCCATTTTGGAGGCAGTAGATTTCCTCATCAAATTGTCAAGACTCAATATGCGTCCTTACGCACCTTAGTTGAGTGGGTGTATTTGGTCGGGTTTGAGATTCGCCTAGGAGAACTAAAGCGCCGTTAAGTGTACTCACCTTTAGCAATTTGACGACATCGGGTGGAAACTGCATCAGCGTCGAGCTGGATACACGCCTGTAGATGCGGTCCACGAAGATGCCGGCGCGTATGGCATGGGCGACCGAACGGAATCTGGGCTTCTCGTCACTCCTGTTGCGAGTGGTGGCCATTTGGCGCGTGAAGGTCGAGGCCAACCATTCGCGCACCTCCGGCGGCACTGCATCCGGCTGCACCTCGGACAGTTCATCATCCTCGTCGGCCAGGCGCCTACAGGGGAGTGGTGGGGTTTGGTTTTGGGAATAGGAGGGTTGAAGAGAAAAAATGTATTAGTCCAGCTTCGTGTTATGTTTTTAATCAATTTTGTTTTTTATTCTTTTTTTCGCTAATTAGTAAAGAAAATTACCAAAACGCTTAATCGAAACATAGAAAAAATCAATTGGAAACCAAAAAATTGTTAGTAGCGCAATTTTATTAATTTTTTTCATTTCACTTTGCATTTTTTTTTGCTGCTGGTGTTGGTTAAGCTCAAGTTACAGAAACAAACTTAAATGAAAAGTTAAAGACAACAAAGAACAAAAAAAAGAACAAAATTTTATCTCAAACGAGTTTTGTGTTAGGAAGGGGGAAAAGTTGTTGGACGGGGGGGGTGCTCGGGAAACCAATTTCTAGTACATATTCGTGCAAGGGTAGATTATTGCATTCAAAAGAACGAAAATTAAATTTGGTTATAGACAATTTCGAACATGTTAACTGGATGCAAGAAAATCGCTATAAGGCAACAAAATAAACTGCATGCTTGTATGTGTGTGTGTGCGTAAGTGTGTGTGTTGTGTGTGTGTGAAGTTGGTGTTCGTTGTGGGCGTGGCATTGACCAAACAAATTTGCTAATTGCATGCCAAGTTTTTGCTTTGCGAGTGCAACAACAAACGTGCAACGTGCAACAAGAACCGAAGAAGACGCCACTTCTAAGGACTTTAACTTTAACTTCCAGTTCGACTTCGACCAGGACTTGGGTGCAGAGCTCACATGGAGCCTTTGAGCATTATATGCTTGTAATTGGCGCCGATAACAATTCGAAATTCTAAACTAATTGGTAAAATTTTGAATGGGTGCGTGGGGCAGAGGGATGCTAAGAAGCTTGCAGCCTCAATCAGTGCATTTCTATGGCAACACATGCCGCGGTTTTTTTACACATACTTATTTTCCATGAATCAAACAACACACACACACACACACACACACAAGCACACACAATAAGGATACACACACACAGTATCATGATAGAAACGGCTGCTCGTTATGGCACAAAGCTGCAAAGCACTTAAGCTAGCATCTCCGAGGCCGAAGCGACTTAAGCAAATTAGCGCCATATTTAATTATGGCTAATTAGTCGCAGTGCAGCGCTTAGACAGAGCTCCTCGCTGTGAACGGCTAACGGTACTAGAAACTGCACTGAACAGTTTAGTATCTCTTTAGTTTGTATCAGTAAAATCAAAATTGTTCGTTGTTTTGCTTTCCAAACAATGTTTAAAGGTTCGCTTCCTCGGCTCTCACACTCTTTTATTATTTGGAATAGAACAATTCAATTTGTTGAAATTAAATTCAATATAACAGAATATATTTGTACTTTGATTTGCCTTTTTTATTTCTTTTTTATCGAACTTAGTTAATTTTTTATTTTTTGACAGTACGATCGTTAGAACAATTTGATAAATTAAACAGAGTTTAGCTATATTATGATTCCGGTTTATTTACTACTTTCTTCTTTGTTTCGCAAAGTAAAAGTTAAAAATCGCAAAAATCAAGTAAGTTCACCAATTTTAGAGCAAGGTTCCTAAAATTGAACAATCAACCACCCTTTATGTGGAGTTTCCGGAAAACTGAAATTCTTGGAATATATCGTTAGCGTCTAAACCAGCTTCAGCAGAGTTCAACATGGTTGCTTGGTTCTTTTCCGGCACAAGCTGGCCAAGTTACATAACTCCGGGCGCAATATATGAGTATGCGCTATGCTGGTGCCGGCACCCGTCACCCCCCTTTACTGTGTCCCATAAAATGTCTGTGTATTTGTGCACTTCCTACCAACTAGTGACAAGTTCTATGACGGCTATCGCAAATATATACTTCACTCCTTTTGCATAGTTACTGGTTTTTGTTTAGCTAGGTATTTTTTTTTTGGTAACTACTAAATTTTGGAGTCAGTTATTTATTTAATACCATTCCGTTTTCATGGCATGCTCCGTTTCAGTGGCACACAACATAATTTTTCGCAAACTTTAAACTTTTATTATATGTAAATATAACACTGTATATAACACTATCTGGCCGGAAGTTATACGTATGACAGATGTGTGGGATAGATATTGTGTTGTCGCACCTTTTCTTCTTTTCCTGCGTCTCCTTGGCGCGATACTGAATTATGAACTGGATTAGCTCAACGGTTATGAGACTTTGACGGCTGCTTTCACGCCTCAGGCGACTCATCGCGACGATCACGAAGCTAGTGCTCCTGATTCTGCTCGCCACGGGCACGGCTCGCTCTGCTGCCGCTGCTACTGCTGCTGCTGCTGCTGCTTTTCCTTTAGCTGTTGCTGTTATTGTTGTTGTTTTAGATGGTGGTGTAGACATGGAGCGGCGTCGACTAAATTGACTTTGCGTCAATGTCAGCTATTTTCTGCTCTATCTACGCTCGCAATGCCATACGCATTCGCTCACTCGAAATAAACCGTAATTTATCACTGTAGAGCAATGAGTGGAAAAGAGAACGAGACGAGCTTAACCAGTGTTGGGTCACAACAGCTTGCAATTAGCGCCAAATGCGCTTTTAATGATGACAACAGGCGACAGAAATAACACGTGTGCAAATATTTGTGCAGCTTTTCTATTTTTTTTTTTACGTTTTTACGTTTTTGTTTTTGGCCTTTTCGCGTTGAGGGTTTTAATCCTTTTGGCGGCAGTTGCTGCGGCGCGCGTAGTTCGTTCGCTGCGAGTTAAATTTAAACTAAATGTTCTGCCAGGTGCGCAAAAGTGCTAGAACATCGCGAAACTGGAGCTGCTTGCGTGCAAAAGGCTCAGGCCCAAGCCAGGAAGCCACCTACTCTGAGAGCCTGTGCGTGCTGCCTTATGTACTATAGTAATTCGCCAGCAGAGCACACTGTAAAACTGTGTGTGGGGCATATCAATTATGTCAGCAAACAGCAAAATAAATAAAAGAAAAAAAAAATAATAAAAACAAAGGACTCTCGAGTCGACCTAAGGAGACCGCAGGCAACTTTGCAACTATTGTGTACAAGCTAGCTCGTATATTTCTTTTACAACTTATTTGTACAAAACAATTACACAAAATGCTAAAAGGCATCAGCAACAACAACAATAACGGCATAGCTATAGCTGTATCCTGGCTGGCTGATAAACACGACAACATCACGAGCACAAAGCCTTTCCAGCTGGGAACTTCCTTTCTGAGCCCTGGCGTTTGCTTCATTGTGTTTAATGACTTTGCATGCTAGCGCGAATCTCAAGATGGCGGACTCCGCACGAAGCAGACGCAACGGCACTCGACACTTGGCCGGGGTTGGGGTCGGGGTCGGAGGTCAGCATTCAAGGTAGCTCTTACAAGCGTTGCAAACGGTTTTATTTCTCATTCCAACTGCCGTTTCACATGTCTTTAGCGCTTTTGTTTATTTCTCCAATTGCATTTCATGTCATAACGTTACAATTTTGTAGCATTTAATTTCGCCTCAACCTGCAGCGAATTGCGTGCCTGGCTTTTGTTTCCATCGGTTATGGGCGCATTTGCATGATTCGAGTCTAAATGCTTGTACTGTGTGCAGTTAGAAATCACGCTAGCCTCCATTAGACAATGCCTCGAGGTGGGCAACAGGTGTCGCATTGTTCGAAAGCTTGTTATTCAAAGACTCTTCAGCTCGCTCTGTAAGATAGTCTAAGTGATGATAGCTCCTTTTCACTGAATCAGCAAAGACTGCATAACAATATTTTCTTGGAACACTCAAACAGTTCGTGTAACAGACAGCTCTTTCATATCTTAGAAACTTACAACTTTTTTTGCGTAAGCTGAATGCCAAAAATTTACGGCTTTAAGCCATTTGGGCGCATGCCTAGCGAAGCATTTTGTGGCCCCAAACGCTTGAGCTTGATTTTAAGGCTCATTTGAGGGCAAACCGACAATGGAGCCGACGACCAATAATAATGCGGGGACCCCAAAAGTATGCCACTTAATAGTTATGCGTGCAATTTCCTGTGCCCGTGCCTGAAGCATTTTGTCGTCGACGCTGTTGTCATCGCCGCCGAATGCCGAACACGGGAAATTGCTGCCAAATTGGCAGCATTGTTTTCTGTCAATGATTTTTTGTATGGCAGCTTCGAAAACTGAACAGAGCCCCACAGAGCAAACCATTTGGCAGGAGCTGTGTGTAGCATCACAAAAGCCAGGAACACGCACATTGCGTGTGTGGAATCATTAGATTGTAAATCCTGTAAAGCTGCAAGAGCGTTGCTTCAGATATTTTGATGCCAAAGTTGAGAAACTGTTTGTTGAGTAATCTAAAAGTAAAGCTATGCTTCAAGTTCATATAAAGCTCTGTGCTTCTAGGTGTAATTTCCTGAAGACTGAACTGAAATACCAACTAGCTTTTATAATGCAAGGTTTTCAGTTATCTGCGAGGTCCCACAATGGATTTGGCAACCCTCGCATTACTACGCCTACGGCCAGACTGATTAAAGTGCGTCTTCGCCGTTCTGTTGTTTTCTGGCATTGTATTGCCATTGCCAAAGGACAGGAGCAGTAGGACATCCACTGAAAGGACCTTGCAATTTAATGCGCCTATTTCACTGGTGTCCTGTGTGTGCTCGCCGCTGCTTATGTGGCAAAAATTGGCAGTTAACATCATTTATTATCGATTTTCCTTTTGTATGCCAGAAAGACAGGCCGCTCTTTGCAATATTTCTCCGGCTTTCGAAGGGTGTTTTCTTGGGTTGGTATTTTTGTTGCTATTCCAATTGGGGGTCACTTAGTCGTATGGCCCCGTCTACTGGACTAATGCTTCACGCGAAAGATGATTGATGATTGCGACCCGCTGTCCATATAAATGATACTACTCACAATTTGCTAACGGTAACGATTGTATACTACGTTTTAGCTACATATAGCGACCTTCAAATTGTGCTGCCTTCCCAGTTTGACCTAATTTTTTGAACTTTTTTTATGGTGGTCTGGAATCTCATTGGAATTTTTTTTTTCGTTTTAA